TCATATTTTCAAATCTTATAAGATTTTTAAAATTACATATATGTCAATTCATTCGGTATCCTAAATAAGATATTTTAAAGTTAAATACACGACACTTCATTCAGTAAGCCGCTGTGAATTTATGAACAAATTTGTTAATGGATATATACTTTCATTTAATTTTAGAAGTTTTTAAAAATTTGGACCAATTATTTTAAGATTTCTTATTGTAAATTTTGTCCATGAAAAAAATTGTATTTACAAAGAGTATTTACAACTACATACATGTAAGAAATAATAATAATCAAATTAATCCTTACATATCACTGAAAGTTTTTCTTCCCGATAAAAGAAATTAAATTATTACATTTTCAACAGTGAAATACTGTGATTTATTTATTGAATAAAAGTTATATTCTCTCACAGTGTGAAAGGATACCAAAGTGATATTCTTTCACAGTGTGAAAGGATATCAAAGTAAGTAAAAAATAATTTCTGTCCTGTCATAAGATGAGATAGTAACTAAACCATCTTGATAGAGACTAAAACTGCCACTTTCTTCCCAAATATGTTGCTAAAATCCATGTTACAATGTTTTCAGTCTCACAATTGCTAAGCTATGATATCTCAACTGCTCAACTATGATGTCACAGCCTATGATACTGTGTTAAGAAAAGACAGAGGTAAAGGGAAATTCAAAGAGAATATAATAAACAGAAAATTCAATGTTTTGTAGTTGGATATGGAATTTATTTCACTCGTGAGACAAGATTTTTTTTTATATTTTCACTCGTGCTTCGCACTCGTGAAATTCTCAAAAAATCCTGTCCCACTCGTGAAATAAATTCCATATCCAAACACAAAACATTGAATATCCAATTTTCAAATAATCTCTCATGTTTTTAATTAAGGTATGTCACTCGTGAAATTTGTTATATCAAGGATTTTTTGAAAAGTATATTTTGGATAAGTACTCATATAGTATGACTCAAAATCGCAGAGAAAATGGGGGGTCTGTGTGCATCTAACTGAGCTACGGTACAATTAAGTTGACCTTTTTGCACTTAAATTGTAACTCTTTGGTTAATCACTTTAACCGTTATCATATTTTATAAGATGTAACCATGACAATAAACATAATCTTATTTTACGTAAAATAGTTTGAATAATATTTATCATTGAACAAATCATGCAAATTAATGCGCGTAAATTATTGTGTGACCTTTTTGCACTAAAAAAGTCTCATATTTGGGGTATTAAAAATCTAAATAGGCAATAGAATATTTTCTTGTATCAAACTTTTTACGACTTAAGTGCTGATCAGTCAGAACTATCGAGTAGTTTAAAATAATGAAAGAAAAAGTTTGGGTCAGTGATGTAAATTTTGAAATATTGGTCAAAATATGCGATTTTCAGGCAAAAAACTGTGTAAATTTTATCTCGACTTCCTTAATATATCTTCATTTCTTGGCAATGTTTGTCGAGCGAAGGTGTAAATTTTGTTATAAAAATATAAATTGAGACCTATATTTAATATTCCAGGCATATCATAACGAAAAATATTCTCTGAGTAAAAGAATGTGAGGCTAAAGTTCCAAGATATTAAATTAAATAAATGTGTAGATTTGCAGAATTTTCTGCTAAATATCCTTCCGCCACAAGAAATAGTCCCTTATAAATCTTGCTTCTTTGTGAATTTTTTAGCAGTTTTTTAATTGAATGTTGAACATTTTACATTGTTTAATTTAAATATGTTATAAAGATTGAATTGTAATAAATAGTTTTTAAGTAAGAGGTTCTGACTGAAATTTTCTAAAAGGCTGACGAGTGACATACCTTAAACTGAAGTTTAATAAAGAATGTACATGTACCACGTGACTGATGTATCGATCACGTGACTGATTTTTAGATTTCCTTTATTTGATAACATTAATCTACTTACTAATAAGTGTCAAAGAAACAAAGCGAAAACAAGTTCCTGTCAATTAGTTCGTTAACGAGAATCCCCTAGATAGGTAGGAGAACGTTCGATTAGTTAGAAACGTCACATGGAGAGCAAGAACTATTTGTTATGTCAACTCGAAACAACGTCATTGCGCGTGGCAAGATTCATCACTCCGATTAACAATTACTCCATCTCGTTACCCGAAGTACCGCGATAAAGGAAGAGCTGTCGTCTGCTATCGATTTCTTGTCCTATTAAGAGATAAACATCCCCAATAAGAAAAAGCAAGCTACTATTAGTCTTTTTAATTTCCAATTACTTGGCCCAATCACTCACATTTTGTACTCTACGCAGTTACGAGTCGGTGTTTACAAATTGGATCGTTATTATACATAAGGATGCATGTTCCCGTCCAATTAAATAAAATGAATTGATGGAAACTTCAATCCAATTAGAACAATTTTAAAAAGTTTCCGTTTTATTTTTGTCTTTTTGCAAAGCACACTAATTACATTCTCTGAAAAAGAGGTAACTAAATGCACCCACATCTGTTTACTGACCTCATTTCATGCCAAACTCACTGTCTGATTTTCTATACGTTAAATTCTCATTTTTCAGAAATCATTGCACAAAAACAATGATTTCATTTATTGAACAATAACAAAAATGACTGTATTTGGCAAATATTCTACTTTTAGGACCATATTCACAAGCTACCAAGTTGACGAACTTGAGAAAACATTTAAAGAAGCGCATTATCCTGATCTCTATGCCCGAGAAGTCTTGGCATTAAAGATTGACCTTCCCGAAGACAGAATACAGGTAAAATATATTCTTGCACAATTATACGTGTCTTTAAGACAACTGTACCTCATACTGTTTATGGTCAAGTTCAAATAACATAGAAAATGTAATTTTTTGATGGAATACAGGTTTTATAAGCTGTGATTTATAAGAAGAACGAAACCTTTTTCTTCTATAGGCAAAATGCATGAAATAAAATTGAACTAAATCAACTCAAACTGAATATTTTTAGTTAACTTCAAACCAGACAAAATTTTATATATAAAAATAAAACTAGTAAAACGTCTTAGAATAAGCGTTAAGCAACTCTGATATATTGCAACAGAAAACCAATTATCAGCTCTAGGAATTTGCTAGTCCCGCAGGAGACGGTTCACGATTTCTAATTGGCTCCAGTATCTAAACAGACGCGGGGCTGGACAGATTCGCGCAAGATTTATATCTCGGTTGTAAATTTTTTTTAGCTCTCGAAGTCTTCCATAAGTTGCTGTATCATGGAGAGGGTTCCCCGAGATTTGGCAAGCGTTGTACTGAAAAGTTCTGTCTAAAGTTTATCCAAGATGTTGATAACGGAAAACGGAACATGCTTCTACAAATTGATATTCAAATTAATTAAGAAAGCATACATATGTTTTTGTTGACGCAGGAACTAGATACTGTTTTATCAGCGATTTCAGAAACATCTTACAGATTCAACTAAAAAAATTCAACTTCAAAAGAAATTTCCCCATAGGTCTAAATGTAGACATCAAGGTTAAGAAAATGTTTCAAAAAAGATGGGGTTAAAATAATAACATTTTAATTATCTGTATTTTCTGAGAAAACTTACTAAATTTACATGCCTTGTAAAAAAAAGTCCACTGTACGATTGAACACCCAATGGTCGTGTACAACGAACCAGCGAAGTGCGATAAATATGTTCACTTCAAACGAAAAGACTTCAAGCTAGTGTTTTGAATTGATCTTGATTTGTAAAACTCTATCTTATATTTAGATATATCGTCTAACAGATATTTTTAAAAATCTCCTATTTCATATTTTCCGTATCAACTATTCACAAGAAATGATTTCTTAAACATTGCATGGTTCTCGTTCCTAGACAGACAAGATGGAAATTTTCCAAAATTAATTAATTTTGTAAATTTTAAGTTTTGCCTCCCTTCTCCTCCCCATAAACAAGAACATATACATGTATGTACATGTACCAATTACAGAAACAATACCTCCCGAAGCCAAGACGGATTTTTTCCTAATTTGTGACTAATTCTCCATACAACTGTCGATATATAGAAGATCACAAGACAAATATTTTTACATTGTACTTCGAAATTAACTCTCGAAAAATTTCCAAATCGTGAAAAATCTGCAATAAATTTAAGAAATACCCAGATCGATATCATTAATATATTCAAAAGGGATGTTGGGTATCTTTCCCGTTTAGCACAACATAAAAATTCAGTACAAATCTTCACTTTAGAAATTTTGCAGTTTACGTTTTGCAAAATATTGACACTTTTCTTCATCAAATATAAATAGGTGTGGTTCCAAAATCGTCGAGCCAAATGGAGAAAGACTGAGAAAACTTGGGGTAAGAGCAGCATAATGGCGGAATATGGACTTTATGGAGCAATGGTGAGACATGCACTTCCGCTTCCGGAATGCATCGTACAGAGTGCTGATAAAGGCATCGATAAATCGTCTGCACCATGGCTTCTAGGCAAGTATAAGGATCAGTTGAGAGGGGAATAACTGAATTTAGAAGCATCACATATATTTTCAAATAAGATAAAAAAAAATTAAAAATATATATTAATTTTCTTATAGGGATGCACAAGAAGTCGCTGGAAGCGTCGAAGAAAATGCGCGAAGAAGAGGGAAGTGTTGATGGAGGTGACATGAACAATAGAGTGAAAGAGGAAATTCGATCGGAAAGCATCGCGGCTCTACGTGCTAAAGCTCAACAACATAGTGCAAAATTATTAGAGTGTATAGAAAGAGACCCCAAAAGCTATGACGAGTCCAGCAATAACTCATTTGACAGTTCTTTTTTCTCAGATGCTGGAGATGGAACATCAGAAATGTCCAGAAATTGAAAGGGGGATCACATAATTTAAAAAAAAAAAGAGAGGACATCACTCTAAATAAATATGGTTCTGTGGTAGCCGTTACCATTTTGATATTGAACGTTGATCTACGCATGCCAGATTGTATTTATATATTAGTTTATATGTATAATATTTGTATGATTACATGTACAATAATGACAAATATGAAAAAAAATATTTATCTTTATTTTCAATATCATTGAGACGTTCATTTCACAGTTTCTATAAACAACAGCAAAATGAAATCAAATAATCATATTTCTAAATATTCCTACTGATACAATTGGATTTTATTTTCTTGTAGTGGCTATTTACAGATTAAATATGTATACTGAATTTTCTCATATAGAATCGTTTCCAAAAGATTCCATCAGTAATTATTAATCGCTTTTATGTCTTCTTGAGAATCTCAAGTATTGCTCTGAACCACACTGTCACGGCCACTGCCCCGGGGTCGGGGTTCTTTAACCTCTCTGCACTGACATAACTTGCCCTCCCAGCCTGGGCTTTCATAGAAGCTGTGGCTAGGGCAGCAGATTCTGTGGCCTGTTATGAAGATACAAAGTGAAATGGAGGAGGAGTTTCCTCAAGTTATATTTCTTAAAATTCATTTTTTCTGCACAATTTATGACTTTTTAGAGTGTTGAATATACTTACTTGCACAATTGTCTCCAGAATTTTAACAGGACTAGATAACGATCCCGAAGTTTTCAAAGCTGAATCGGCAGCAAATAAAGCGTCAACCTGAAGAATGTCATGGTTTTCAACTTTTTATGAACAGCCTAATTTAGAATGTGTCTTCGAATTAAGAAAATTTTTGAGGAGCGTTTTAGCCTGTTCTTATATTGTTGTTCATAGGATATGACAAAATGTTAAAGATGCTGCGAAATTTAAAACTATATTTTCGGAACCACGAATAAAAAATAATAAAATATCAAAGTTTACGTTAATGCCAACTCGAGATTAGAGATCTTTTGCAGATATAGTTTGATTTTTCTTGTTTTCTTTTGATATCAAGACATTCCCGGGAGAAAAAAAAATCCCTTGCTAAATCTTCAACTGTTTGTACATGTACGTATTGCTAAAGGGTAGTTCTAAGGAAATTAGGTTTATATCAATTATATGTGTTAAATAAATTTGTACAAATCTTCGCCATTATCATTATCTTGGACGATATCAAATTATATTTTGATTCAGATAACGGTTTTATTTGAAAATATTCCTTGACTTGTGTAAATAAATATTGAGCACGGAGTTACCTCAGAATACTACATACCATCGTTCTATCGCCGGGCTGCGCACCTCCATATCTAAATAAAACCGGGGATATAAAAATTATTTCACATTAAATGAGGCATCATTTAAACATGCTTTAAAAATCTTCGTTTTACCTCATTATTGTGGAGGTCCCATTACTCAGGGCTTCCTTCCATCCTGTCATACTAACATTATTTTGTAAAGAATGGGAGGCCGATGTGAAGAACAGACTATACAGCTATGAATAAAAAAAAAATAATCACAATCTGTACCAGTAACCATATGAAATAATGAATTGATTTATTTTTGCCAATACACTAATTTTGAAAATTCTAGTTGTCCTACCGCTCCTGATGATCCGCCCATTGAATTCTCTACAATCCTTGCTAGTGACAGAGCTAAGGTTGCTGGATTGTCTACAGGTAAGTTAGGCTTCTCCTTCTGTCCCAGTTCTTTCATTATTGCTATATTACGAATTAAATTTTGATGATAATAATATTTTTCTTTTCAAGTTTATTGAATTTTTAAAAGTTGTTTTCCCCAATAATGTTCCCAAAAGATACCACTTTCTTGCTTAGGTATAAAATTTAAGGAATTACTGTCTAATTTTTTCTTGGCTTTATGATTTGAACAAGCAGTTCAGTCATGTAATAATTTGCATAAAAGGCACAAAAAAGGATGCCAAAACAAATGGCTTTAATGAAGATATAAAGTTATTCACTTCATTGAAGTTTTATCTCGGACAAAGGCATTTGAAAATGTAATTAAATCTTGAAAATTATACATGTATACATATAACATATCATTAAACACATTACAACTATTGGATTTTTTTCTTCTGGCATGTAAATATTAAACTCGCACTTTCACAAAAAAGTAGATTTTATCAACATTTTTTAGTACATGACATGTAAGTCAACTTTAATGACTTCGGGTTCAGTCCAGCATTAAAAAGAACTTGCACTACATGTGCAATCCATACAGCAGTTAAGTGACATACAGATATATTAATATGTACGTAATTTTTCTTCAAGATTCCCTCTCTTAGTTAACATCGCCATAAATAACAACTAATGAGGAGTAATATTTCAGTCATACAGTACAAATAAATGAACCAATCATAGGCCTTATTTGATTACAAAGAGACCACATCTGGTTAATCAACTTTTATTCCTTTGACCCATGAAATAATGCAGCATGAACTTTGCTCCTCTCCCTCTCACCTTTGCCTTCTGACCTTACGCACATATACGAACCATTGCCCCCTCTAACCCCTTTAATAATGCTGACCTTTGCCCCCTTTCACCCCTGAAATAATGCTGACCTTTGGCCCCTCTGGCGAGTGTTGTACCACAGTCTCCATCCCCACTCTCCTTGTCCAGGTTGTTGAGTTCCTCCTCAGAGGATATCAGTCTCTCCATGGACAGCTTTATTATGTCATGTAGCATGTCAGCTGTCTCTGAAAATGACAGGGGAAACTAAAACACTTTGGGAAAAAACACCCCTCATTTGGCAATCTTTTTTCTTCAATATTTTAAAAGCCTTAAAGTTTGAAACTAGTACCAGTGCTAACTAATAATTAGAAAAGGAATAAGATTCTTCCTTCAAAAAAAAAAAATCTTAGATGGTAAAATAAATATGTCCCACCATTACTTAGTCATAGAAATGAGCAATATTCGAGAAACATTTGATCCAAAAGTTTAGGAAGGGTTAACACATGTGTAACCCCTTTTTCAAAATTTTATTGGTACAAGCCCTTGCTGTTCCTTTTAGCTAATAGCTAGTAACCATTGATTGTCAACATCCTGGATATAAAAGTGTAATATTTGAGTATATATTTAAACATTGTAAATAAAATACCTTTAGATGTACGAACAGAATTGCCAGTTTTCACATGGTTTTCTTCTTCTTCAATCGGTATAAACAGTGGTGTTTTTCTCACAGAACTATCACGTGATATAATAGGACTGGACCAGCCCGGAACAGTTGCCTTGGCATCTTTAAAAAATTATTTCAGAAGTCAAAATTTTCTTTCGTGTTTTTTGAATTTCTACTGAATTACTTTTTTAAACAATCACCTAATTAACAGCAATGGTACACAATAATAAAAAAAGCATAAACCTCCGTTTTATACGTAAAATATTTAACAAAATTTATTCCATTATTACCCTTCACTCACTTTATCTTCATTGAAATAAATAAAAAAAATTACTGGGAAAACAATTAAGATACATGGATATTTTACAATTCTTCGTTTTGGACGGACATACCTAGGCAGCGTTTGATTGTTTTATCCAGATGAAGAATAGTGACAGACAGTCCGGCCATTTCTAATGACGTCATAAACGAACCGCAATATGCTCTCTCCACAACCACGCCCCTCTCCTCTGCACGGAAACAGAGTGGGAAATTAGTCATTGTTTGTTACCAAGATTTAAAAATTTAGATTTTTTGGTACTATGTTGGGGGAAAGTTTTTTTTAAAGGTCGGTACCTAATTGCTTGATGACTTCCCCGACTATTATGTTGATTTCCAGCAGCGACATTCCTCCCAAGTTATTTACCATACAGGCCACCTTGTCCCCTACAGTAGCATCATATTCCAAAAATAACCAAATTTGAACTTTGATTTATAGCTTATTTATTACAAACCACTGAAAATCGGAAATATTCAAACATGTATAAGTATATTTATTTCTAACAAAATATTAGAAGCTACATGTACATTTATTCGTTGAAATTCTTTTGAAATTCCAAATCATAGATCCTCTATACACCAAACTACAGTATACTAAATCTAAACTATACCCGCTTTTAGCTTGATATGTGTTGTAGTACTGGTGTTGGTCATGTGGTCAAGAATCATCTTTACGACTTCATTAGCTGGTTTAATCTAAAATTTAATTTCTTTTATTAATTCAAAATTCCATAACGCTTTTTTGCCATTAAATAACCATCTTTATTTGTTTTTTAATACATTTTTGTGGTTTCATTTTACTGCTGTGAATGTAAGGCGCAAAATTTTATCAAAACGTAGCCTTCGTCCGAGTTATCCTTTCGTGAAGCATTTTAAATCCTTTTGCCTTTTTAACTAAATCTAGTAAATGAAATCAACGTTCTTACCTTCGTTCTTTTAACACCTGCCTCACCATGTAAACCTGAGGTACGAAAAAAATTCTATAACTAGAAAGAATTGCAATGCAAAGGAAATGAAAAATGTTTTCTTGCTGGTTTCTTTTTTTAATAGATGCTTCTTTCATTGATATACCTAAACCAAGTTCCATTTCATCCTCGCCAAGACTAAAAGTTGGTCCAGAACCGGGGACACTGCATGATGTCAGACTTACACCCATCGTTCCTTGAAAACAATTTGAGTAAAGCTGCTAGTTGTTATAGTTGGGAAACTATTCAAACACAGAAAAATTAGCTGGAATTTTCGAGTACCAACATCGAACTATGATATCAACTGAATGATATTTACCCATGTTTGCAGTGACATGTTTTCCAACTTCAACTATTTCTTCTAAACTTTTCCCTTCCTCCGCTAACGCACCGCATATCTACATTAAAATCATGTTACTTTTATGTTAAGAGTATTTTAGTTTAAGTAAGGAATAAAGCTAATAGTTTACCTTATTTAGGAGAACAGTTCCCGCCAACCCTCTTCGCCCTGCTGATCTGTCTGATGACGTCAGAGCACAGTCCTCGCCAATGGTTATCGAGTCCACATTTAGTCCTTCCCTCTTTGCGCATTCTATCGCCAATCCGAAGTTTAGACGATCCCCGGTATAATTGGTGATTACAACGACACAACCGGCTAAAAATGTGATAAATAATTAAATGCGGTTTCTTTGTATACATGTATGTATGAAATAGTCTTTTTTAGATTTGATGTGTATCAGGTGATAACTGACATGGGAGCTCGTGATAATTTGTTGCAGTATAGTCAAACCAGGGTATATTGGTAATGTAGTTGTCTTTTTTTCTTCCTCTCTCTTTCAAAAAAGGACCCTACGTGCCTGCTCTAGCCTACATCTTTACCTAATCAATATATACAAAGTCAGGCTTTCTGACGTAATGAAAACCAAAAAAGGAATGCAGAAAGAAAATAATGGGAGGTCACACGACATCCAGTGTGGTTATCAAGGTATAACCCAGATTTTTCTTTTTATTAACAAAGGTTTGTCTAATGTAGATATATTATTCAGACAGTACAAAGTCATGTTTTTAATCCATGAATGCGTAACTAATTGTAGGACTCACCAGAATTGTGTTTGGTGACGTATCTGAGGGCTGTGAGGATACTGCTCGGTGGAGGAGAAGCGAAAACTGCTCCAGCAACGGCCGCAGTCAACATACCGCGTCCGACATAACCTAGTGAGTACAAAAAACTGAATTCCCAGTGTAAAAGAGTAGATCGCATACAGGTCACACATGTATTCCTTAAATGAAGGCATAGAGTGAGGCTTATTGCATGACAGAATTTCAAAATCAAGACAGATAAATATTTCTTCGTTATCAGAAAGCTTTTGCGTTTATCAGAGTGGCCCTCCATATTTACCTGCCTGCGCTGGTTCGTGCCCTGACCCTCCACCACACAGCAGCGTGACTTTTCCCGCTTTTATCACCTCCTCAACATCTTCTCTGACGACGATTTTGTGTCCCTGCAAAATACGAAGGGAGGAATGGACACTGACCAGTCCCCGGAGAGCGTCGTCTACACAACCGTCCACAGAGTTTATTAACTTTTTTGTGGTCATCTCTACATAATACTATATTTGACGATCGTATTTATCATTCAGCTTTGTACGATAGCCGATAAATACATAAATTCTCCAATTTGTCAAAAATTGAAAAGAGGTTGTCTGATATGGTATCTTACCTAATGAAATGCGCTTTTCCAATATTTTTTCTGTACAGATTTCACAACTACAATTCAGTTCTCACACAGTACGTATTAATATGACATGCGCGGACCTACAGCCCCCCCCCTTTCACTCGAAATAGCTTTTTCGATCGGGTGTGGACAGCTGTTTCCTGGGGGGGGGGGGGGGGCTGTCCAAAAAAAAAAATATGAGTACGATTTTTTTCAAGTGGGTGTGCGTTCCTCTTGACCCCGGTAAATTCCTGGATCCGTGCATTACTGGTCTTCGTACCAAAACTTTCCCAAGGGCGGATCTAGGCTTTATAATAATATACTACGGTTATGCGTATGTGCAAGTATGAGGGGAGTTGGAGGACAACTTTCAGGCCCCTGAAACTAAAAGTTTGATAATATTTTTTTTGTCATTATTAATTACTTTATACACAGATAATACAATGGAACTGACAAGAACAAAATTAAAATATTGATTTATCAAATTAAGTCCCACAAAAAATGGGGTAGAGGGCGGGGGGGGGGGGGGACCAACCTTTCAATGACCATTTTCAACAATAGGTCATATTTGGAAAAAAGGTAGGAGGAAGCATCTCCTCCCCCATTACTACGTACCTATATACATATGCTGAAATTATCTTTCATATCTTGCTATTATATAAATAATGTAATATTTCATTGAAATACTCTATATGTATATTTTCAGTACTATTTTTAGTGTTCACCATTACAATGTAGTTACATAGGAGTATCATATGTTGTAGATTTTGAATTTACTAGGTGGAAGTAAATGCAAAATTGACAACATATGTATCGTGTTGTACAATTTGCATTTACTTCCACTTAGTAAAAACATTACAGCATGATAAAAGGACACCTCTTTAAGATCATTTTAAGGTTCATTATACAACTGTTTACTCAAATAAAAATTTTGCTTTAATGATTTTCCGATAGGAAGGAAGGCCATTATTTGTTCCCCCGGCTTATAGACATGCTTTTTGTAAAAAAAAAAAAAAATGTGTTTACAATTTGGTAAATCAACATAAACGTACCCAGTCTAGGTTTCGTATCATTCAAAGAAAAACAACTCTTTGGCTGTAGTATTGTCCTATTTCTTAATATTCTTATATATTTCAACTACGGTTTGCATGAACATGTATTTATGAAGAAAAAGAATGATATAAATGAAAATAAATGAAAAACAAGTTTTTATGTGGGGGACAAAATAATAGCTTTTTCAGAAATAATCCGATTTGTTGACAAAAGTAGGACAATTTTCCGTCATATATTTTTTTCTTTAAATTTTGCAGAGAAGCCTTGATACATCAAAAGTACTCTTACCTTAAGATTGAGATTTTTCTGACTTGTACGGGGCAAAAATAGCAGATTTTGATAAAATACAACTAATGGATAATTACTTCATCTAACTTGGTTTCTAGAATTCCCTACGAGAATTTTAAGCACTGACACTCTACATCTTTTTACATGTGTCTCAAACAAATACAGCTGAACTTTGGTATCTCGGACACGGATATCTCGAATACCATGGATATGTCGAAATGATCTGGAAGTCCCTAAGCAATTTTTCTCTAAGTATTTTACCCTCAATATCTCGAACCTTCGGATATCTCGAAGTTTTTTCTTGGTCCCACCAAGTTCGATATAACGAGGTTTGAATGTGCCTTGTACATTGAGAAAAACAAATAATTTAAGTTATAAATATAGATTTAATAATTTGCCATCACTGAAAATATCACAGGGTTTTTTACCCTCATATATATAAAACAATGTCCTGTGCGCATGGCAAATCTTGAAACACGGACATACCGGTATTTAATATCATATAATCAATATAAATCAATAATTTGTACATTAATATTTTATCATACAAATGTACTTAGTAAATCAAATGCCATTCAACAGTAATCATAATAATCCTGTATATTCTAGGTATAATTTACACCAAAATTAATATCTTGAACTTACCCAAGCACCTAAAAAAAATTCCGAATTTACAGTTAAAATTCTCAAAATTATAAACTTGACTGTAATTCAAGTACAATATGGAATTCAACGATCCATTTTATTAAAAAACAAAGCTTAAAAGTCAAAATAATTTAGTATGGAATCTTCCTAGGATAAAATGCACTATTTGGTAGTCCAGGATTAAAAGCCATATGGATCAGATTGTAATTTCTCTGTGTTTTGTGCTGTTTTGAGGACCTCTTTATATGTGTTTTATGCTGTTTTGAGGACCTCTTTATCTGTGTTTTATGCTGTTTTGAGGACCTCTTTATCTGTGTTTTATGCTGCTTTGAGGACCTCTTTATCTGTGTTTTATGCTGTTTTGAGGACCTCTAACACTGCTTTCATCCAATAAGTAACAGAAACAGCCCCTGGGTCTGGACTCCTTAACCTTTCTGCACTCACATAGCTTGCCCTTCCGGCCTTGGCTTTCATTTCAGCAGTGGCCTGGGTGGCTTTTTCTGCTGCCTGTAGCATTATAAAAAAAAATTCAATATGTATTCAATGAAAAAAACATTAAAAAAAAAGTCTTTTTATCTATATCATTTTTTTTTAAAAATGTACAACTACCACAACGCATGGGGCAATATGGGCCAAAATCAACTCCATCTCAGATATAGATAATATTTTTCATGATTGTATGCTGTGGATGTCTCTTTTTCAAAAATGCATCAAACTGTTCAAGGTAGTTTTGGATGGAAATAAAGCATGCAACCATGTTTCTTGTAACTTGTGACATAGATACCAGTAGAAAGTAAAAGTCCCTTGGAAAGAAAATTCACCTGTGTCATATTTTTCCAGACATATTTTCAAACAAAAAATCCCTTATACAGCAGGCCCAAACCTAAGAGTTACTTTTTAGTTTTTAAATTAATTAAAAACACAAGCTTTGGTGAGCATTGTGGTTTAAGGGCCTGTAAATTTTGCTTACCTGTACTGCTGCCTCTAAAGCTTGAACAGGTGTGGACGATAATATTTTCTCTGACAGTGTAGTGCCAGCAGCTACTAATGAGTCCACCTTAGAATATATATATATATACGGATAAATCTCTTTGCTACTCAAGACACACAGATATATAAATATTTTAAGTAATTAAGAAACTCTGCTTTCTCCTCACCATTGTTCTATCTCCTGGCTCAGCTCCTCCGTACCTGTAATTATAATTAATTAATGATTAAGGTAATAAAAACTATCATACTAACCATGAGTAATAACCCTAATGTTGCATTCCCAGTTTTTATACACTGTGTAATCTACATGCAGTGCAAATTGGGAATACTGTGGATCACTATATTTTTGCGACACCTTATTTTTGTGAGCAATGGTTAGTGTTGTATATAATCCTTAACAATACAAATTTATGCGAGAATGAAACTTTCCCGAGCAGACACGCATAATTACACGAAAATAAAGTTCTGACAAATAAAAAAGTGATTTACAGTATATCAATGTGTTAAATTAGCAAGCATTTAGAAAACACTGCTTCCAATATACCTACTTCATGACTGTGTTGTTCCCGTTAGTTAAAGCACAGACCCAGTCCTTAGGGGTTACAGAAGATTGGAGACAGAGTGAAGCAGATGTCAAGAATAAACTGTAAAGCTGTAAAAATATTAAGTGCAAATTGAAAAAAAATAAAAATATAATTATTTTTAAGGTCATGCAAATGTGAACTTGAAACAAACTCTATACCGCCCCTGAGGATCCACCCATGGAGTTCTCGACAATCTTAGCCAGAGACAAGGCAAGGTCTGCTGGGATTTGTACAGGGAGACTTGGATTATTCTTTGGTCCCAGATTTTGTAAAACACCTGGAAAAAAAACATAAATATTGCAGATGCATTACTTTACCTTCTTCTATGAAACAAAATCTTAACTATATAAAGAAAAGGTGATCATAGTTTATATAAACCTGAACAAGACAATCAATGTGATTGTAAAAAGTCTATTCAATGGTTGAGTAATTATCTTGTCAAATACAGTTCAGCTTCAATATCTCTAACACTGATATTTAAAACACCATAGCTATATATAGAAATGAATCAATGATCCCAACATTATCATCAATTCCCCTTTCAACTTCAATATATATTGAAGTCTATTCTAGAATTCACTGTTTATCTTTCATTCCATAAAAAACTGCTACCTTCATGATTTACCTGAATCCAAATTATTTCTTCTCTTGTGCTTTTTACATGTCTGACCAATAACACAACTTGTACCATGCCCCCCCTCCCTTCCTCTGACTCTTTAAAATGTCTCACCTTTGGCCCCCCTGGCCAGTGTTGACCCACAATCCCCATCCCCACTCTCCTTGTCCAGGTTGTTGAGTTCCTCCTCTGAGGATATCAGTTTTTCCATGGACTTTCTTAACATGTCATACAGCATGTCAGCTGTCTCTGAAGATATAATATTTAGACATACATGTACTTACTCATACATACTGTAGATTCCTAAATATTCGCGAGGAATTAATTATCGCGTAATTACGCAAGAAGGATCTCTCGCGAAATAAAATTACTCGTTTTTATTTTTATTGTGCTGAAATCCATGTAAAATCAGTTGATCAACCATCCATTCGCGAATTATTGTTCTCGCGATTTGACGTTTAAGGGCTATTTCGAGATATTAAGTACCCGCATAAAATAGGGAATCTACAGTAGTTCACATATCACACAATTTGAAAAACTGAGTAGTAACTACTAGAAGCTCTACCTTTGGGTACACTGACAGCATTACTAGACTTCACAGCCTCATCTTTCTGGTTGTAAGGCATTACTGCAGGATTCTCGCGTGTTGATTTTCCCACAGGCAACATTGGCACCGGCCAGCCGGGAGCTGTGGTTTTGGCATCTAATTAAAAGAGACCTCCACTGTGTAGCAAAGGAAAACCAGTATTTTTTGCATAAAGTCCAGAAAATAAAGATTTCTATTTAACAATGTAATTATTCTGATACCCAAGCAGCGCCTGATTGTGTCATCCAGATGTAACAATGTAATTGAAACCCCTGCCATTTCTAGTGATGTCATCAAGGATCCACAGTAAGCCCGCTCCACTGCTACACCTCTACTCTCTGTGGAATATTTTGATCTCGAGTAAGTAAATGCTTTCTATGTTAAAACCAAGTCTGACTATTTCAATCAATTTGAAAAATCTTCTTTCTTCACAACTTACATTTATTCCTAGATTGATTTACAATCTCATTTTTTCTATGAAGGCTAATTCACCCCCCTCCCCCTTGAGTTTAGGGTGAGAGACTGAGGCAGAATAGAATTGATGTGTACGCAGAGAACGGCAGGGGGTTGGGGGTCTTGAGGCCCCCCCCCCCACCAGTGTTTTAGGGCTCTGGTCAGACATGTAATATAGTTTTTGCCAGCCAGGAAAAAAATTACAACTTTAAAAATTTTGTCAAGCAAGGACGAAAAAGGAAGATTGTCAAAATTCGAAGTCCTATTTCTTGTGTGTGTTTCTTGAAGGGGGGGGGGGGGGTGTCCATCTTTCATAATCCAAATTTTTATTAATACATTACCAAATTACCATGATTTAACAATGGTGCAACAAACAGTGGGGGTCCACCCTTTCAATGTACATTTTCAATAGTAAAAGGTTAGGTTTTGGGAATAAGTAGGGGGAGGCTCCCCTTACACTACGTGCCTGCTGGTGAGGGCCAAGAAGCTCCGGAGTTTTACCAAATATTTCATTCATTTTCTTTAAATATAAAAATTATGCCATTTAGTTTTTGTTTAGGAAATAAAAGACAGAGTAATATTTATTGTTTTAACGAAAATTAATATTCCATGGAAACTTATTGTACATATAATTGAGGCTAAAAATTTAACCGATATATTAATTGGTATCATATAATCATTCTTAATGTATAAAAACACGTATACAAAATTTTAATTATGAACAAAAAAAATATCGTATTGTAAATCATACTAGTAGATCATAGCATTCAACGATGTGGCTGAAATTTAATTTTTCAAAGATCTTAAAAAAAAATATCAATGTATGATAGAACAATGACAAAATAATGAATGATTTATTTGGATTTGGCAGTTATTAAATAAAAGATTTCAAATTTTATCATACAGCCATGATAATTGAAAATTTAAATCGACACAGTATGACACAGAATAAATTGAAACACGAATATTTGTTGGATGGTACTGAAATTTTTTTCTCCGAATAATTCTCTCTTCTTTTTTTTTCTTATCTTTTTCCCCCTTTTTTCTGAAAATGATGTGTACGCACTTGCGTATAGGCAGCTACATGCCTGTGAGGGTAAAAACACAAGATAGCAAGACAAGGTTAGAGCAACAACAAAAGGAAAATAGAGCTTAACTGCAAAGGTGATGTTATTCTTGCTTTCACATAACTCCACTCTTGCATTTTTCTCTATCATGTCCCTAAAATGGAGTTATCAACCTTGTGGTCTTAATCCCTCCCACTTTAACTCTCCAACCCTCATATTTCCCCCAGTTTCTCATCTTTTCACATTTTCTCCTGTGTGTTGTTGCCCTCACACTTTTTCTCCCTTAATGTATGGTCAAAATGAGAAAGAAGGGAGAAGCTCCACCTATTTGTACATCATAAAAAGCTCATTTTAATGCTGTTCATGAATTCAAAACTACAATTCTTAATAATGTAATTTGTATGGTCAATACTGGCTGTTCTTTCATATACAAATACTTAAAATTCCTACATGTACCTAACTGCTGAATAGCCTCTCTGGCAATGATGCTCATTTCTAAAACTGAAGTCCCACCAAGATTGTTAATCATACATGCCACTTTGTCACCTGTAAAAGAAGCATTTGATATAGTTTCTACAGGTAAAAAAATTCTATAGGGAAAACCACTATAGGTATCTGTAACATTAGCTGCTAATGGTTACTCCCTTACCTTTTTTTAGGTTAATGTGAGTTGATGTTTTGGGGTTTGTCATGTGATCCAGCATCATTGTAACAACTTCTTTGGCTGATACAAGCTGATTTAAAAAAAAATACATCATAAAAATACATCTCAGTGGTACTTAGAGGCATCCCTTCCTTATATATTTCATCAGAGACGGAAATTCATAAGAGATATAAGGACACTTGACTTTAAGTATCTCGAAATCAAATCAAGTTGCTTTTATATCAATATGTTGGAGTCCTTGAATTATTTTAAAGCAAATTAAGTAAAATAGAAGATTATAATTACTTTTGTCCTTTTGACACCAGCTTCCCCATGTATACCTGTGAACGAAAAAACAACAGTAATTTACATATATGTGCTGTGTGAATCATTCAGAGTTATATTGCTCAGTATTTCCATTCTTATTCCTTGAACATGTACAATTTTATATACAAACATTACTGTTTTTCACAATGGGTCCTCTGTCATGCAAGTTTGGAATATAACAGATTTCACTCACAACTGAATTTACAAACAGAAAAACATACATGAATCTCATGCAGATGCTAGAGGAAATGCTTACCTAACCCTAACTCCATTTCATCACTCTTCAGTTCAAATGATGGCCCTGCCCCTGGAAGACTGCAGGGAGTCAAACTAACTCCGATGGTGCCTAAATAAAAGATATAATTAGCAGAGCAAGAGCTTTAGATTGGGACAAATATCTTTGTCCTTGTATGCTGTATTTCATTCTTTTGTTCTACAATCTTATTTTAAATTATACCTAGTTTTTTTTAATGAAAATATATCTGTATCAATGTTATAAAAGTAATTTTTCATTTCCCGTGTGATTATAAGTATCTAAAAAGATTATGAAAATAAATCGTGATGTATCTTTGTAAGTCTTCTGTAAACTGACCCATATTTTTGGCAGCATTACTAGCCACCTGATGGATTTCTTCCAAGCTTTTTCCTTCTTCTGCTAATGCACCACAAATCTAAAATGTACAAAAAAGAGAGAAAATGAAACATCCCTCAAAAACTGAATAACAAATCAGTGGGAAGAAATTCCCTTAAAGATTTTTTTGGTCCTGATGCAAATTAAAGCATTCTAGTTTTTGCCTGTGAATAAACTTGAGCAAGATCTCTATGAAAAGATCTCTGACATCCATTGACATTCTATACATTTGAATTAATTCTGTCATTCTCTTTAAAATATACATTCAATACCTTATGAATAAAAACTGTGCCACAAAGTCCTCGTCTGCCTGCAGTTTTGTCAGCAGATGTAAGGGCACAGTCCTCTCCAACAACAACCATGTTGACCTTTAACCCCTCAGCCTTTGCCCTTTCTGCTGCCAGGCCAAAGTTCAGTCTGTCCCCAGTGTAATTCTTCACAATGATCAAAGAACCAGCTACCCAAAAGGAAAGTTGGAAACTGATAGGATGTATGTAGCTTTTGAAAAATGGATTGATCAATTCTTGCTGGACAAGCACTACCCTTACAAATTTTCATATATTACATGTAATGTTTGACTTCATGTGAAGAAGTATTATTATTTGTCATAGCTGATAATAACCATGATAATTCTGGTATTCATTTTAATTTGATAATTCCTGTATTTATTTTAATCTTTATTTCCTGACAACTTTAAAAAAAATTATCTGGTGAAATCAGAAAGAGTGTGGCATTTTAAATAGGAACTTAGTGTAGTTATCATGATCATTTTGCAAGAAAGCTTCCAATGACAATTAACACAGCAGCTCATTACTCACATTGCCCTTTTAAATGATTTCTAGCATACAATGAAAACAAGTTTCATGCTTTAAAATTGGTCTAACTCTACGAAAATAAAGCTGTAAAAAAACAATTCAAATGTTATATACCGGGTATGTGAAACTGTGTTAATTTTTGATATTAAGTATTAATTAATTAAGTATATTTTACATACCTGCCCCTGCCCTAGTGATAGACCTGAGGGCTGCTAGTATGCTGCTGGGAGGAGGGGAGGTAAACACTGCCCCAGCTACAGCTGCTGACAGCATTCCAGAGCCAATGTAGCCTGTGATGTTTTTTAAAAATATGAATTATACTAATTGCCAAGTAACCACTAAACTTTCATACTTAATGATACATGAAAAAATACATGTAAAATAAATTGCAAGAATACTTAAAAAATTTACTAAAACATGCAAATTTATATTTTTTCTTTTTAATAGGCCTAATTAACACACATGATTATCAGAACTGTTACAAACTTTAATCATTTATCATCTCATAGAAAACGGTCTCTATTTGTAAAGGATATTTTTTCCATTGAAGTATGTTTCCATCTTACTACTAAATCTAATATGATTTTTCCCCAAAATGATTGCAAATTGATAGATTTAATCTTATACTGTTAATGTGTAGGCAAGCTTATAATGCAGATTTATCTTAAGTGTTCCCATATTTATCAATTTTGTAGCAGGTATAAACCTTGTCTAGTTGACCAACTTCTTAATGACATAATACATAACATATAGAGTAATGTAGTATTATGTAAATGGTGCAGAAAGGGACCCCAAAGTACCCTTGAAAATTGACGTTGTGGATATGTTAAAACGATAACAGAGTTTGTGCTAAGAGCAGAAACATAGATAACATGTCTCGTCTAAAAGTTTTTGCCCAAGTCCTGCAAAAAATCTCTCAAATTTTGAAAAAATAGCCAATAAATCAGTATTGAAGTAGTCATAAAAAAGAGACCTGTAAATATTTAATATTAACCTGCATGTGCCGGTTCATGTCCAGACCCTCCTCCACAGAGGAGGGTTACTTTTCCAGCTTTGATGACATCTTCTACGTCACTGCGGACCACGACTCTGTGTCCCTGCAAAATCTGTAGACCGGGGTTTATGAATACCAACCCTTCTAATGCCTCGTCAACGCATCTTTCCACCGAATTTATCAGCTTTTTTGATGACATGATAACGATCACTGTAGCAGAGGAAATGTAGACTGAATGAATAGTCTGTATCTTCAAAGTGTTTGAAAATCGAAAGTCAAGCAAAAGTTAAAGTTGACAGAGCTTTTTTCCGGAATAACAACAACAGCTGTCGCGGTACAATACATTTTTAAATACTCATGAAACCTGTATTTTACGTCAACGCATTTAAAAACATAAATTGATAATTTAATGCTTATCAATATTATAGCTATATATGGCGTATCTGACCTTAAAAATAAAAAGTACAAGATTGAGTGCAGATGAACATGATATTTGTTATACAAAATTACGTTCAAATTTATAATTTTCACCGTTTTTGAACTTGAATAACCCTTCGTTTCTATAGTTAAATTGACTTAAAACTGAGTCTGATATTTAAATGCGGAGTCGGAAAATGAATCGGTTATTGTTTTAAATTTCTTATATCTATGAAACGCGATTGATTTAATCAAAATTTGTAATTTACAGGAAAGTCCTATCTTTATATAAAGTAATAAAACAAATAGAAAGATCTTTTTAATTTTAGTTAGTCTGAACTTATCAAAAATACGCCATATATGACTTTAGTTAAAGAAAGCAGCAATAATATACTTATGCATAAAATGAACAAATGTTTTTCATTGCCTCTGATGAAACAAAAAAGACATAGTATTAACATATATTGACATCATTTAATAATGAAATGTTTTGTTTCGTTTGCTTTTTTATGGTACATGTAGTTATATATGCTTTGTACACGAGGTATGCTCGACGTGTATACTACGCGTTTGTGCATTTCGAATGAATATAAACATGAAATATTCAGCTGCTTCCGTCCATTGAACAATGAATGACGTCACTATCTCTGCATTGCTAAGATAAATAATCAGTGACGTCACAATAGCCTATCGTTGAAGAAAGAAAATGCTGGCGGTAAGTTTTTAATACTTGATACATTTGATACTTGGCAAGTATACTCCACTTCTATTCATTTAAACATAATTAAACTTTCGTTTCTTTCTTCTATTCACATTTTTTTGTTCGTTGATTTTTCTCTGGAGGAAGATGTGAATTTGATTATGACTCTTGATCTTAGATCTCTGCGAGGCTAATATTGTGAAAATTGTATATTATGCATAAATATATATATATATATATATATAAAAGACAAAAATTTTTTTTTTTTTCAAAGAGTAGACCACAAAAAAAATTTTCCTTATAATGGTAACATGTTGAATTACTTGGGGATTGTATTTTCACGTTTGGGTTAATTATACAAAGCAAGAAAACGTTTGTGTTAACAAGCACAAAAGGCAATGCATGGTGTGATACGTAAGATTAGCCAATATGACTTACACTTTGAATGTCACCTGGATTTGTTTGATAAAGTAGTTTAATATATATTATAGAGTCATACTGAACAAAACTTGTGTATGGAAAAGAAAATAAATTGTGTAGAATTGTATATTTGTATCTGCGTAAACAATATAATTAAGGTGAAGCAGCAAATTCCCGGATTTCCTTTGTTAAAGTATTTTTGACAACTGTTGTTTATCAAATTTATAGTATGAGCAAACTTTTCATACATTGTAATGTAAAATGGATAAATGCAACAGTCAAACAAAGGTTAAAATATCAATATATTCTGAAGTGGAATAGTGAAGTTCGAGAATGTTCAAATGTGTAAATTACAGAATTTTTAAGACCAAAATTATCTATCTCTGTTATCATGTAAATTTTGGAAAACTCTTGTAAAATCACCACCTCCCAGTCGAAACAGGCAATGAACGACTTTGTATTTTGTGCTATAGTAAAGAGAGAACAGATGAATACCACTATATTTTAGAATATAATGTTTTAGGATAGTTGAGGGGAAAAAAATCTTGAGCCAGAAATTTTGTTATAAGCCAAATATTATGAAGTTTTGTGAAATTAAGTGCTCAAAAGATGTTGAAATTTTAAGAAAGCGCTGTTCGTTTATTACTAAAATTAATTGTTTCATCTCCTCTCCCTCTCTAGCTAGACTTGACTCACACTTCTTGCTTGACCCATTGTATGTATATGTGTTATATATATATATATATATTTTGTACCTCACGTACCATTTACATGGTTTTTAGAGAATAAAATGAACTGAACTGCCACGTCAAAAATAATAATAATAAAAATAATAATTTTTATCCTAAATAGATAACAACATTATAGAATATTTTCTTTTAATGTTAATTAAAATGTTAACCTGAAAGATGTGCACTACATGTATATTCATTTTGGTCTCTAAAACATTTAACATCACAAATCTTTATCGTTAACTTGTATACATTCTCATTTCGCTCGTTCACCAGTGATTTAATTAAATTTGAATTACCAACGTAGTTCATTGAATGGAGAACCCAATTCATAGCCGAAAGAACTCGAAATTCCCTTGGAATCACAAAACATCTTTAGCTTACGTCAAAATCTTTGAAATAATCTAGAAGCCAAAAATCACCAAACTACTGCTATGTGCAAATTAAATAGTTTCAGTTCGAAATAATCATCTTACAGATAATTGAAATTTTGACTCAAGTCTAAGTCTGTTTCATGATCCCGGTTCTCATACGTTTTTTTCCCCTTAAAGTATATGTTGGTTCTGTATATTGACAAAATTTCTGTTTTGAAAAAATACAATGCTCTTTAAAAGATATTATTAAAATATTAGAATTTTGTGAGCAATTTTCTCAATAATTTGAATGTTTTCATTTAATTTAATATGCCGATTTTGAATAAAACTTGAAAATCTTTAATTTTGATTTGTTTTTTACAGGAATTTAAATATCAGTAGGTTATCTATAGATGTACTCCAAACCATGTCGTTAAATAAAAATAACAACGTTAAAGTGGGTGTAGAACCAGATCCAGCGGAAGTTGAGGTAAAAGAAGAAATAACCTACGTAAAGTCATGCTTTTTATACTCCATATAATACTTCGTTTAAAATGATTAACACATTTCATTTATGTATAAATATTTTCAGTTGTACGTTGAGAACATAATCGGAAGTGCTTTACAGCAGCTGAAAAATGAGAGTGCTGTTGGTAAGAAAAATGGATTAACACAGACAGGTCGAACTGTAAGTAATTCATTGATCAGTAAGTAGTTCTCAGCTAATCACTAGAAGTACTAGAATTTGCTTTAAATCTACTTATTTCTAAATTTCCTCTATATATTTACTCGTATCACTACCACTGAAAAAATCATGTTTCTCTACAATTATTCTGGACATTTTTCATCCGTAAAAAAACCGTATTAAGTATTAAACAAAACAATAAAGATATAAAGTAATCTTCATATTTTTTTGTCTGGAATACTCAATGAAGTTTAAAGTTTACTGAAAGAAAAAAAAATATTTAAGAAAAAAAATTGAAAATTACTGATCTTTCAATAGGAATCAATCATTTTTTTCTCAATTATTTACATTTCTAGCGAAAGAGAAAGACATTCAAAGAAAAGTGGACCTCATTGTTCACTTGCTGTTACAGGAAAGGAAACTAAATTCTGAGGAAACATCATATTTAATAGTGAAGGAAAAATGAATATGAATATATACATGGACGCTAAGAAACAATACTGTTAATAAAAAATTGTATTTTTTAAAATCTGCAGGACATTCCTCAATTTCGGTCACATCTGACTTCTTCATTTGCCATATTCAGTTATAATATTGTTTTTTGTTAATCATGTGTTATTTGCAATTGTAAGCGTTCTATTTCCCAGTCCATTTTACATTATGTACATGAATACAGTGATCTTTTAAAGATATTTTATTCCAGTAAATTACAATAAATATATAGACAATTTGTTCATGCATTGAAATTTAATGTCCAGGACAATCACATATTTTTTCCTCTATAATAACTCGGTCTCCTGAAAACGTAAAGTCTGCACATCCCGAAGACGTGTGACCACGGGGCAGAGATCGGCTTTTAGTCTGGCCCTTAAACTTGACGTAAGCACGATGTTTCTTGCCGTCTGTGACGCTGAGCGTGGTGTATCTACAAGCCTGCGTATGTCTGGATTTGTAGAAACATTCTCCCGCTAACTCAATAGTAGCACTGCAATTTCGAACGTTTTCTGACACAGAACACGACGTTGCCGCTATGGAAGAGAAAATGAACAATATTTTATGATTATGTGGACCCAGCATACGTGTACGTCAGTTTTTTAACGAGATCATGTACATAGGCCTGATTTACTTATGGCATTCTATGCAATATTTGTGTCTAGTTACAAAATATTTACGAGAGATGCATGGTTTTTTTTTAAAATAAAAAACGATCAAATTTTACTTTTCACTTACGTTTACATTTTATGACACCGTCCCCTGTAAATCCAATCTGGCATGTGCACTGAGGTACACCGTGTATGACGTCACAAGTAGCCTCAGTGTGACAAGTTTGTTTTTTGCCCTTGACCAACTGAGGGCGCTTTTTGCCTGGTAATTTACGACACGTGTCGACTCCAGAGCAATCGGGCTTCGTGTAAACTGCTTTTAACTAGAATAGGAGAGACAAAATTTGCAAGTTTTATAGATGAAATCAATAATTATGGATACGCCATTACAATAATAAATAATCATGATAACGTACTGGAAAATAATAAGGACCCCTTGAACACCCACAATCTTTTGCCCTGACACACTTTTCTCCACTTAAGACAAAACCATGAGCACAACGACAGCTTTCAGTCTTTGGCAGAATGCATTTCTTTTCTGCATTTGGATCCATACATGTATTGGGACATGCAGATGCAAACCACCAGTAAAACTTTCTCTTTCCACACTTAAGTTCTACAACGGTATTGTATTAAAATAATAGTACTTGTAAAATCTATTTTCTCAGAGTTTCAATCGTATATATGTATTTTTTTTTCAAATGGTGACAAAACAAAGCATACAAGCAGATATGAATTCTTTACAATCAGCAATGCAAAGAAAATATTAACTCACTCCGTTTGCAAGTCGGAACACGGTACCTCCAATATACGAGCTGACCACGTTTGGCGCACAGAGTGGCGAATCCTTCTAAATGTCTACAGAGAGTGGAATCAGCCTCAAGGCCACTGGCACAATAGTCCTGCCTGCAGGCTTTATACATTCTGTCTGCAAGCTCTGGGAACGCTTTCATACAACGTTTGAATGGTGAATATTTGTATTTCCTGTTAAGCAATCCACATTTCCTGAACGAGTAGGAGCCCCTACGGTTCCAACATGTTATGGTAGACCCAAGGGACTCGCATCTAAAATTTTAAAGATTCTATGATTCTTTGGCTAACCATTAAATCTTAATGACCAAAAGAATTTGAATTGATTACTAACTATCCTTTAGCATTTTGGATGATAACGCAATACAAATCAAAAATAATCTTGACATTTACGTTTGGTTATTCTCCATTTCTGTCACTAAATAGCTGTTTCCAATATATGACCCAGCCTCCTGTCCATAACTCGTAACATCTTCACCACCTTTAATTCTCAAATCGTCCCTCTTTTTGTTACAGTTCCCACAGATTCCAGTCAAAGAATCACCAAAGTCTAATGGAACAGACAGTGCTACCATTCCCCTTCCATTCCAGAACAACCGAATACTACAGCCGTTAAAAAGGACGATCACACCTAGCCCGCTGTAGTGAATTGTTACGGCGGCAGATGTGTAAGGTAAGTACACCTGGAGGTCGTCCACCTGAGAATAAGGTGATATGAAATATAAAGATTCTTTCTGCATCCATAATAAGAAAATGCATCTAGCTGTACACATTTTGTCTACCAAAAAGGTTATACATGTATTGAAAAAATATTGATAAGCAAGAGGGAAATTACCACCAAATTCTACATGAAATGTCATAATAATTGAAGATAAAAATGTACATGTGTTTTAATAAGCATTATGAAGTAAAATATAAATACATATATGGATTCACTATAATGCCGTTTGAAAGATCTTTCTACAAATTTAATGGTTGAATCCAGTCTTACCATGACTTCTAAATTTCTACCCATGTGTATCTTCCTTCCTGCAGCAGAGATTTCGATATACTCTAACGTTGTTCCCTTTCTTGGAGAGTCTGTCTTTTTGTACTTTATCTCCGTCGTGTATTGACATGGGGAACTGGAATTACTGTATTGGGACAAGGCGTATTTACAAGTTCCAGCAAACCTCACAAAGTTCCCATCGTACAGATTATACCACGTGTCACTCGTGATTGTGCATGTGCATAGTTCTAGAAATAATTTTTTAAAAAATCAAAAAGATTTTTCATGCATTATTTGACTTGACCATACTTCAAACTCTCGCTGGAAAGTATTTTGTAATCAATCATTTTAATTTGCAAAAGTGACCGCCCCTCCCCCGATTTATAAACAACTTACTTTTACAGATCATGCCGTCTCCTTCGAATCCCCCGTCACATTTACATTTTCCTCTGTAGCAGCTGGCATTGTCACCGCATCTAACTCGCTTCCACCCACACAGTCCTGACAATAACATACAATAAATCACAAAACAAACAATAAATCAGGAACCAAACCTCACTCTATACATTCTACTCTTAATAAAGGTACTAAATGTACGTAGTACTTGTCCCTAATATGTTAATAAAAGAAACACGATGTTACTTAGATCTAGGAAAACCGAGCTGAAGAGAGGTGATTCGATAAAAAAGAAAAAATAATAATAAGTTCCCTCTAAGGTCTATCATCCTACTGTTCACTCGTATAAAAATTTTCTTTAACGCTTATGATTTTCTAAAAAAAAAAAATCAAATTTATAACTAAAATGCACACGATTTCAGCATACCCTTCAGGGCAAAATGTTACATGAGTAGGATTGTTAAAAAGGAATGAAAGACATTTATCCCCATTAGCGCTACCTTTTACGATAAGTACAATGAATCTTAATTAATAATTTTATTTTATAAGGCTTACAGACATCAGGAATTGATACGAAACTATCATAAAGTTAATTTCTTTGAAGTCTTTCTAGCCTAAAAGTCTAAACATGTCGAAAGCTCAAACCAGTGATTTACAAGAATAAACTATACATACTCTTGCAAGTTTCTCCTGATCCGTAAGTACCCATAGAACAGACACATTTGTTATTTATACATCGTGCATACATATGACATTTCTTTCCACCACAGGTATCTGCAGAACAAAAGAAATATGTCGCTTGTAATGTATTTGTATTTTTTTTCAAACAAGTAATCATTTGAGATGGTAAAGGATATACCATTAAAAATGTCTGAGAAATCATGCACATATGATGAAACAATTACCGTTTTGTTCAAATGAGTTTTTTTTTTTCTTTTTTGATACAATAGTAGTGGGTAAACTGTACCTGTACAAGTGAAACCATCGCCATAGAAGCCTCTTACACATTTGCATTTCCTTCTGCGTCCATATCGTGAACATCGAGCATTCTTTCCACAGACCTTACCTCCACAGCTTTCTGGTTTTAAAATAAGTGTCACAAACAAAAATAATAGATGTAAGATTATCTGCCTATTCAAACACCCATAAGTTTACCTTCCATCTTTTCGAATATTGCCAACAAAATGAAATCAAATACATAATTTATTAACGTTCTACCTTGACACTTAGTGGCACCGTCTCCTATATACCCTCTCTTACACTGGCATTTATTGGATCGACACTTTGCGTTTCGCGCGCATTTCGAAGCATCACATTTAACTACAAATAGAAATTCCATACAGAAGAAAAGAAATTAATAAAAAGATGTACATTTTATGACAGTTAAGTCAGAGTATGTGATAGTTCCTTAAACGAATTCCACACACCTTCACATTTGTTTCCAATCATCACGTATCCTCTGTTACACGTGCATCTGTTGTCGACGCATGAAGCAAATCGAGGACAGTTAAAAGAGTGGCAAAGTTCTAAAACAAAAAAGGGGTTGCCAAAAACACTAGTAAAATCTTTACATGGTGAAAATAACGAAGTGTGACTTGGATAATTTTTATCTTACACTGATCTGGAGAAGGGCAATTTTGTGTGAAGAATAAGTCAATCATATAAAATATGTACTAAACTAGTTTACAGGAGTTTTGTATCTGATAGGTCATTGTAGTCTTACCTTCACAACTACCACTTCTTTCAATGAAGCCCACTTTACAGGTACACTTATTGTGGCGACAAACTGCATTAGCTTTACAATCACTGTCCACACATTTCACTATTATAATAATACATGTATATAATAAGAACTGAATCCTTAACTTCAGTACTTTTTCGAATTATCATTTAATCTAAAATATTATCTGAAACCCAGCAGAATGTATAAAGTGGAGAAATATTGAAAAGAGGAAAACTTACCTTCACATTCGCCATTGATTTCTACATATCCGGAATTACATTTGCATTTGTTGTCTACACAAGCTGAATTCGATGGACATGCACTATCCACACACTTTACTGCAAGGTTAGTAACACTTTAATTATATTCCACAAATAAAAATGTAAGCAATACAATATACGTATATGTCTTCCATTGAATTAAACGGTACTGATACCACACTACCGAAGTGCAGGAGTAGAAAAAAAATTCTCTAAAATGCTGGAGATGATACATATTAAACATTTTAAACGTTTCAATAATTTCTGTTACCTTCACAAATTCCACCATTGTCTATGTAGCCATCTACACAGACACATTTGTTGTTTTTGCAAAGTGCATTTGTCTGGCAATTTTTATCTACACATTCAGCTGCAAGAGAGAAAAATAATTATTTTTCTACAGATTTCTTCATATTTATTTAGGAAAACTGGATATGAAAATTATCTTCAGAGTTTCAGATGTAAACAAAACTATTCATTAAACACAAACCACCAGTTTACTTTTTAACAACCCAGAACCAGTTCAGATCAATATGAAAGTTCAAAATATTACTTCTCTTACCTTGATTTTAATATTTACCATACATGTATTTGAAAGTATCTACACAAGATTTCATAATAAATTTTTATTAGACTTTTTTTTACATTTTATTTCACACTTACTACAACCTTAACTGGCACAAACTTAATACGTATATATGAATCCTATAATTCATCACTGTTTCTATCTACCTCATCTCACACTGACCTCTATTAATCTTCCTCATCGATATATCTAATTCAAATATTAGTCAGACCTTCTGACGTACTGATTCTGATGTGTTATGTTATGATCCTGCTGTTATTGATACGATTATTATTTACAAAATATTAACAAAAATAACAAAAATAAATAAATCAATTAATTCTCACTCTCACAAGTCCCCATAACGTCGATGAAGCCAGTTTTACAGGTACATTTGTTGTTTGAACACTCAGCATTTGAAGGACAGTCGCTATCGATACATTTTTCTGGAAAAAAAATTATTTCATAAATTCATAAATGCCATATCTATCCTTTTAGAGCATTTACTTCTGTATTACTAACTAATACATTTTATAGCATTTATTTCTGCATTACTAACTGATACGTTTTAGAGCATTTACTTCTATATTACTAACTGATACGTTTTATAGCATTTACTTCTGTATTACTAACTGATACGTTTTATAGCATTTACCTCTGTATTACTACATGTAACTGATATGTTTTATAGCATTTATTTCTGTAATCCTAACTGATACGTTTTATAGCATTTACTTCTGTATTACTAACTGATACGTTTTATAGCATTTACTTCTGTATTACTAACTGATACGTTTTATAGCATTTACTTCTGTGTTACTAGCTGATACGTTTTACAGCATTTACTTCTGTGTTACTAACTGATACGTTTTATAGCATCTACTTCTGTATTGCTAACTGATACGTTTTATAGCATCTACTTCTGTATTGCTAACTGATACGTTTTATAGCATTTATTTCTGATTTCTTTCATACTCACTTTCACAAGTTCCCATAACATCGACGAAGCCAGTTTTACAGGTACATTTGTTGTCTGAACACTCAGCATTTGTGGGACAGTCACTATCGATACATTTTTCTGAAAAAAAGAATCATTCTGGCTTGTATAATTTCAAATAAACCCACTTCTTCCCACAGGGGATTGTGTGGATTTTTCTTACCCCTAACAATGTTTAGGCAACCTCGCTATCTGAACTTTTAAAATTACGATCTATGCTGCTACACAGGTAAAATGTTTTATAGTTTATATTTATATAATACACATACATAATGTAAAACTCACTCTCACAAGTCCCCATAACGTCGATGAATCCAGTTTTACATGTACACTTGTTGTTTGAACACTCAGCATTTGAAGGACAATCACTATTGATGCATTTTTCTGAAAACAGAATCTTTCTGACTTTATTCTTCACCTTCCTTGTGAGCAAGAACTTGTTTCATTAAAAGTACAAAAAAATTACAATATACGCTGCAACACTCGTAAAACCGTTTCTTTTTAAGGTTAACAATGTATTTCTGTAATACTCACTTTCACAAGTTCCCATAACATCGACGAAGTCGGTTTTACAGGTACATTTGTTGTCTGAACACTCAGCATTTGTAGGACAGTCGCTATCAATACATTTTTCTAGGGGAAAAAAATTACTCTCATAATTTAAGAAACTGTGCAATATTCCCAAAAGGAGATTTTCTCTGCTAATTTTCTTACCAATAACATTAAAAGAATATTGGTAAACAAACCATTTAAATGGTCATAAATTCTATACTAACTTTATCAAAGATAAGTACCTTGAATCTTAGCACTGAGGACAAAGGACTCGTTATTTCAAAAGTGCTTATCCACGATTACAGACCATGCTTCAACACTCATAAAATTGCAGAGTTTTACAGCTTGTATTTACTTCTGTAATACTCACTCTCACAAGTTCCCATAACGTCAATGAATCCAGTTTTACAGGTACATTTGTTGTTTGAACACTCAGCATTTGTGGGACAGTCGCTATCGATACATTTTTCTGAAAAGGGATTTTTTTATGTTGAAAATTTTTATATGAATAAATTACACATGTAGTTACACAGAAAAAAAAAACATAAAAACGAGTAATAGTCGATGTTTTATGTCTGATTAAAGGCACACTAAAATAAGGAAATTTCTGATCCCTTTTAAGAGGATGTATCACACTCGTAGAACTATGAGAACTACTTTGACACGCAGAAAACATTGCAAAACGGTCATACTCCTTGCAAATGATTTGACAATATGTACATATTTCAATCTTTAAGAAAATATCCAAATTATAATACATATCTGAGTAAATGCATTTTATTTTATTCTTATTTAATGTCATTTCATCTTATTTACCCAAAATTTATACTTGATAAGCATTCATGCTGTCAAACATTGTTCATTGTAAGAATCAGTTGAAGATACTGTATATAAACAAGGACATTTTTTTTACTGTAAAGATGTTTAAAATTGTTTTTATGTATTTATCATTAAATATCAGCTATACATGTACAAATGTAATGAATGAATTCAAATTGACCTATGGAAGGCGATAAAATGGGAGGCCGAGTTGGTGGGGCAATGGCCACTGAAGTCAAAGGAGTTGTTCCTGGAATTGAAAATCATAATTGAATCAATTTTAATACACTAATATTCAAAAGAGAGAAAAATAAGCAAATATGACCTACTAGATCTACAAATGATAAATAATTTAAAAAGTACATGTATCTTGAATAAATTCCATTAATTCCTGTATAAATTTTTCCCCAGCAATGTAATTTCTCATTTCATTATGTCAACATTAAGTGTTTTAAAGCTTAAGTTTGTCCCAGAGCAACCAACATAAAGCTCAATGAGCTAAAATTTAATCGAATTCTTTAACTTATGTCTTCGAGATGTACAACACAAAAAATTATACTTGCTGGGAGGACTCAAATTTTATAATTCACACAGTTATTTGATCAAAGGGGAGTAACTAAGAATATTATTTAAAATTAAACACAATTCTAATGTAGTATTATCTTAAATAAGATATTGAATATCTACTTCATTTCGCTTACCTTCTGTGGAGATAAAGGCCGGTGTAGCCGTCGCCGGTGTATTTGGCGGTGTACTTAAATCTACGTAAATAAGATATTCCATGAATATTCATATTAAAACAGTCTTTAAGAATTAGAGCCTCTACGATGACTAAATCTTTTTCCACATGACCATTATTTGAAGGATAATGAATTAGATTCAGTGTACTAAATCCTGCACTGCACTGTTCAATGAAATCTTATCTTTAATTTTCCAGCATCTCCATTCCTCAAATTTAAAACATTTCTACTTACAAACATTGTTCTTTATGATAATCAGTTGAAGATGCTGTGTTCATGTATATAAGTTGTATGAAGAAATATTTTTCAGATCATATATATTTTCGTCTATTACTTGTAAAATATCGACTCTATAACAGAGCTTTCAAAATTACCCGTTGAGGCCGATAAGAGGGGAGACTGAGTTGGTTGAGGAAAGGCTGCTGAAGTCCGAGGAGTTATTCCTGGAATTTAACACTTGATATAAACAATTTCATACATCGATTTAAATATACCACTATGTTTTTTAAATGGTGTAGAAATAAGCGATTTGACTAATTAAGTGCACAGAAAAATAAACTAATTACTTGAATAAATTCCATACTTAACTATACTCCAACTATATCTGTATAAAGAAAGTTTTACAGCAGGGAATCTTTTCCCTTTCATTATGCATGTTATGAGTGATCAATAAATGAAACTCTACATAAAGTGTTTAAATGCTTCAATGTTGTCCTACAGCATTTAGCATAAAGCTTCGGCCATGAGCCAAATTTTAAACATTATACATGCAAAAAAGACTGATCCACCCTCTTAAACACATCTTTCACACATTTTTTTTCAAAAAGAGGACTGAATAAGAATGACAAATTAATCTAATTACATATAATTTAACTTCTAAATTTAATTATCATTAGTATATTTCGCTTACCTTCTGTTTGTAGTATAAAAGCTGGTGTAGTAGTTGACGGCGGTGCATTTGGTGGTGTACTTAAATCTATAGTAAATTATATACTACATCTATATTTATGTTCAAAGTGGGAGCTTCTATCGTGACCCACTGTTCACTGTTCAGTAATATCTTTACAATATTCCTGTTCGTTACTTTACTTTAAAGCCGATATCCGTCTTGTCCCTTGTGCCAAGATTTGCACAACTTGATTGCAATTCAAATATGGAAGCTTTGATTTTAATAATATAGTAATAGTAATATTCCAGAGAAGTTTTTTAAATGATTCCACTTTATTTTTCAAGAATTTCCTAATTATTATCCCTTAATGAGTTGGGTTTTTTTTTTGTTTTAACGGGCCCACAGATCGTATTATATTCTTATTTTAGCGTTACAATCTTAAGCGCAGCTAAACGTCAAGGAATATCTAATGATAAAAGAATTTTCGATGCAATTTATTTTTATAGTGCTGTATTTTGTATATATTTATGCACACAAATTAGGAATGCATAACAGGCTCAAATATATGATTTCCGTTAGAATAAGTATAGTATCGATGTAAAACAAGCATGAGCTACTGAGCAGAGTAAAAATTCACATGTTTTACCTTGCAGTGGTATAGAAGCAGGTGTTTGCATAGCCGATGTTGTAGTGAACTCTGTAAGTAAAGAGAATGGAAAACATGATTGGATCAAAAATATATATATCAATAAATGTTTTGTAGTCATATTTTGACCTTAAAACAATATACATGTAACGTACTTGGAATGCATCCGTCAGGTGTCTTTTCAAACCCTTCCTTACACGATGTACATTTTGGTTCTCCATTAACAACGACGCAATTTTTATTCACACATGGTCCAGGTTGTGTATGCAGTGTTGCTTTTCCATTTTTCCTGACACATTTGTACACATGTGAGCAATGTTCGCTGATCAGAGATTTTCCAACCTAGAATGCAATTTTTACGACCTCTCTAGGAAAGTAGAATCAAATGATGAATGCATAATCATATTTCTTTTTAGACAAGTTTGTCATCGAATTTAGAGTGTATCAAATTTGATGAACGCTAAAAGAGGAATCCAAACTTTTTCATTTCAAAGATATGTGATCAATTATTGCATGGAACTCATTTTTGTAAATCTGAGGGCAATTACTTTCGTGAAAATGGATCAATCAACATAAAACTTGATCTGAAAGTCATCAATATAGAGACCTACACCGAAAATTCGAACATTATCTACAAACAAAGCGAAAAAAGTCCGGAAAACTAATTATGGGGAACGACAAGGAAGAATGACAGACAGAAAGGGGTAACACTATATGCCTCGGCCATTTCATGGGAAAAAGAAAGAGGGGAGGGGGGGCATAAATGATTTTAAGCATTAAATTGTTCACTATGATCGAAGTAAACTAAAAGAGACACCTACACTTATATAATCCCCATCAGGCGTTGTACAGCCACATTTGTTAGGTCTCACACAGTTGTCTCCATCCCAAACAAAACCATCTTTGCACTTACAGCCTTCAGCCAAGGGCAATGTACAGTTTCCTTCAAAAGCGAATCCACACGTCTGTGGACAACCGGATATTCCTTTACCAAAGTTTGTCTCCATGTTTGCACTAGATTTACATCTTGGTCCTGAATGTTTTAATTCGGAGAAGTAAATTTAATTTAAATATAATTTACTCTGTCTCTAGATCGACGTGATACATTTTGTTAACTTCATCCAAACCATCTTCTATCTATTAGTTGGCGAATTTATAAAATAGATATGAGCGAATTCAAATGATTTAAAACCACTGGAAATGTGTTTGGATATACAAAAAAATGCGATATTTAATGTTTTGAATAACCGATAAGAAGACTTACTTCTGCAATCGTTAAGCGGGAATATTCTCCAGTTGACATCGTGACCTTTGGACCTACAGATACCAGAGAACAAGTCTAAAGTCTGACACCCAGTTTTTATTGCAGCTTTATTCTTTCTTTTAGTCATGAAGTCACAGCCACTGTCAATACACGCTCTCATTAACGTTTTGCTTTCTTGAAACGATAGATTACATCTTCTTTTGATCGCTCGATCCTGATATTTACAGACCCGCATCTTCATCATCAGTTTAGATCGTCTGTTGCAACGTGTAGTGGAAAATGCATTTTCACACCTGTATATAAATGTTTATTTATTGTAAGAAAGGTCTTCTTAACATTTAGGTTTTTAAGCTTGAAACTTCAGATATCGATGACTTTTAAGGTGGTATGGGATACCAAACGAAACTTCTCCTACATATTTATGTACCCAAATTAGAAGGATTTGAAATACCACCACCTTTCAGTATATTAAAGTGTAATTTTAATAATTTTTTTATTATTTTAATGAGAAATACAAAAACGATTTTTTTTCTTGCATAATTCTTTTTTCATAAGCTTAATATTATAGGCAGGCGTTTGCTAATATAAAGTGTTTATAAAAACAAAAATGACAAGAAATATGTCTTAGTATTTTTTTAATTTTCAACAAAAAATAAGCGTAAAAACTGGGAAAACTTTATTTCTTGAAAACAGACGGATTACATTTCATGAAAGTCTACAATAAGAATGTATCTTAATATGTTAGCAAAGTGAAATAAACAAATTGAAAATATACATATAAATGGAAAATATAAAATGCATTTAAAATTTTTTGAATTAAAAGATCCGAGCGGAAGAGTTATCCTTCTTTATTTTCCAAGGATTGAAAAAACCTGGGTGCTATTTTAGAAATGATGAGCATTTTTTCCCAACCATAAAAAAATCGCACTTTGTAGTTTTCAACTTTGAGCGGTTTTGAAAACAATGCATGGACAATCGCTTTCCAGGACGTGTCTTGTTCAGAGCAATTGCATTCATCTGAACGTTTTGGGACTATATACAACAGCTAGCTGTTTTGTGACCAAACAGTTACTTCTTGAATTAAATAACAAAAAAGTCCAGCTCTGGTTAACGTGATAATTGATTGGTGATAATTCAGGACAATGTGAAGTAATCGCACTTATCCATGCCTCACCGCACACAAGGTGCTGTACAGTTATTCAAACAATTGAAATACAGCTTTTGCTTAAAAGTGTTCAAAAGCAGCAATGTTGAAACTACCTTTTACAGGGGTTTGCTTTTTTAAATGTCCGTTGTACAATTATAAGTAAATTTATATACTTGCGATTTTTTTGTCTGTTTTTACTTAAAATGCCGACTTGTGAGAACTTGCATTGAAATAGGCTTCAGAGTGTTCTTTTCAACGGTGTATCTACAAATTTTGACCCGATAATAAGCACTCATGCAAATCAAAACAATACTTCAAACGGAAATACGTCATAACGTAGAGGTATCCCATACTACCTTAAGATTGGTTTTTACTTGGTGTTTTCTTTTTTAAAAGTATATGACATATCTATGTGGCATACACATATTATAAATTATAATCTTTGCTTAAAGAGAATACAATATTAATGCATATACGTTGATCTGGATAATTCTGTCACTGTGTACTTGGAGAACACATCTGCAGTGGTCGGGTCATCTTTTTTGTTTTGATTACAATTGCCACAGATACCATCAAGTCCACTAGAAAAGGCTACTGGGACAGAGATCAGCAGGTTGGTGTCACCATCCCAACTGATTAAAAAACCACAACTCGGCACAAAAAGTCGAATAGCAAATCCAGCTTTGTAGATTATGAACTTTGAGTTACCAGCAGGAAGGGAACGATCCTGTCCGTTTATCTGAAAGAATCCTAGATTATATAATTTGAACAGTGAGATCGATCTAATAACTACAATAGCAACGAAATATAAAGATAATTTTTTTTAGAATGGATCATGTACTTGCACATGTTGGTTTTGGAGCAACTTGATGTTCATTTCTACAATTTTAACGGTGAGATGAGTTTCATCCTTTCTTTTGTTCACTAGGTCTACAGAAAAAGAGCAGGTACCACGAGGGTCTGTGTAGGATGATATCTGGTATTGACACTTTCCAGAAAAGTGAAGAATCTTGCCATCAAATGTTTCAAACAGGTTTGGACCACCGCTTCCACATGAACACATTTCTAGAAGAAAAATAAAGAAATCATACAAAAACTTAAGACAAGTACTATACAGTGTAAAAATGACGGAACAAAGAATTGGAATGAATTTCTGTAAACTGAAATTAAAACACAACACAAATGAAATGTAAATCAAAGGATAAGTTTTTGTTACATGAGGTAATAGAAAGATTAGTCATTCTACAAAAACATGACCAATTAAGAATTTTTTATGTCGCTTGCAAATTTACCGTTGTAATATCTTAATTATAAATTTAAAGGTCGATTTCAACTCTTAAACTTAAAATACGCACATGGTTTTGTAAATATTCACCGATATATATGCAGTTAAAGTTTTGATATGAACATAATGTAATGTTGAAAAACGTATTCCACTGCAAATCTTAATGTCGCTTCATTTATATACAAATCTCAAGATGAAATTTTCAGCCGTAAAATCGTTCCGAATAGAGTGCAATGAATGTTGAAAAATGTCTTTTAGCCTATATAAAAAGAAATCAAACCAACGCAAATTCTCGCAAAGAAATGCATAGATCTCCTTTCGTGCGAATTTGTAAGCATGTCGCTTAAAATCGATTTACTTCCTTAACGATTTTGTTTTAAATTTCACGCATAGAAAGCAGATTTCAAAAAGAACTGAAACTTATCTGGAAGTGACCACGGAACCTTATATCATCGATTCTAGTTGCGAGTCAGCTATTTTACACGATTACATTTTCGACATAACAAAATGAATTAGACAAAAACAGTTGTCTCTTTTGAAAATTTAACTTCCGTAACGGTAATTCAGGAAAGTTTTTGCATTTAAGGTATAAAATTTTTGATTATTTTGGGAGCGAAATGCTTCATAATTTTGTTTAATATCCTAAAACAAACTTTGATTTTATTGAAGAGAATTTTAACTTTTATTGCTGGGAATTAACTTTCGTAACGATTAACTTCCGTAAAGATATTTTCCCCGAAAATTTAATTTAAATTCGGATTCATGCGAGACTTCATGAATCATACTTTAGCGTTCTTTACTGAACATCAGAAACGAAAAATTGGTCAAATTCAGCTTTATTTAAAAAATAATAAGGCTTGATCAAGCATTAACTTCCGTAACATTACCTTAAAATCAATGGTATCTTGAAATTGTTGTAAAAAGTTAACGATACCAGATTTGTGGACAATTCTTCGTTTTCAAGTTCACTGATAGGTCCTTTAGAGAATTATGATGTTCATTTTGCTATTTGAAACAATTATTTTTTTTCATGTTTTTTACTCTGAATTGGTCCATTTATCGTAGAATGACTGAGATACATGTGCTTCACATTAGATTCAATGATCTATTTACACTTATACATGTATACTTTGGTTAGAGAGCAATCTAATAAAGGTGTCATGTGTATAAACCATTACAGGAATCAAACAGTTGTTTTAAGAGTAAAATATAATATTAAATACATTTCAAAGTTTTTTACTCACTTGAACATCTTATATCACCAATGCCATAAAATCCGTCCTCGCATACACATATACTATTGTCAACACATTTTGCATTTGCTGCACAATGCTTTTCACCACATCTGACTGAAACATTATCAATAAATTCCACAAATAAATTAATTTGACTAAATCTTCAAAAGTACCTTGATTTCCTACCCAATTCTTATAAATTCAGCAAAATCACATGTATAATACTTTGAATTTTCAGCAATACTTACTATGTAAATAAGCAAAACATAATAAAATTATGGTACAACTTACTTCCAGTTTCAGGTGAGTAAGCCTTTGTCGGTGGAATCGGAGCTCTTGGAGTTATAGACGGGACTGCAAATTAATTACTTTCAATTATAAAACGAATAAAGTATATTTGCTTGCATACATTTTTAAATTGCCAAACAATGTAACCTCATAGAAAGAAAAAGAAATAAGAACATTCGAATGCTAGCACATCAGAGGTAACATAATAGATATGTAGACAATGATATAAGAATTCCAGTTTTAAATTATCCATTGGCAGAGCTCAAATTGGCGACTAATTTAGTCGCCATGGCACCTAAAATTTTTGATTAGCGCCTAAAAATTTCCATAAGTCGCCAAATTGGCGACCATTTTAAATTGACTTGGCGATTGACGGATTCCTGAAATTTTAACATTTTTAACATTTTTTCTGAAAAAGCAAAAAAAAAAAAAAAAAAGAAGAAGAAATTATTTTTAGCAATGGACATGTCGTATTTTCTTAGTCATGTCATGGGTCCCTATATAAATTACTATTAACTTTTAAAGTTGGCACCTTTAACAAAAAATCGCCTGGCGACTAAAAATTTGCATTGGCGACTAAAGTTTTTAGTTAAGGCGCCAGCTGACGCCTAAATTTTAGAGGCCACTTAGAGGCCTGATTGGTCTTGGTAAACGAAAATATGTAGAAACAAGATGTGTTTGTTAAACACTGATGCCGCCGTATGGCAACTCATAACAAAGGTTAAACTTTCTGAAATGCAAATCAAATATGTTGGTACCATGCAAAGTAAGGTCTTGTCTCGAGGAATATACCTGTGAAATATGAAAACCCCAGCAGCAACCATTGAATAGATATGGAAAAGGTTAAAGTTTTTCAAAAGTAAGTCAAACATCAAGGTCAAGTTCAAATGGTCAAAATTAATGGTGCCCAAGGAAAGGCCTTCTCACAAGAAATACACATGTAAAATATGGAAGCCCTAGCACCAACCTTCAAAAGTTATAGCCAAGGTTAAAGTCTTTCAAAAGTAGGTCAAACTCAAAAGTCAAAGGGTCAAAGTTGTTGGTATCCAAAGGAAAGTCTTGTCACAAGGATACATAGGTGAAGTATGAAAGCCCTAGCACCAATTATTCAAAAGTAATGGCCAAGGTTAAAGTTTTGCAAAAGTAGGTCAAACTCCAAGGTCAAAGGGTCAAAGTTGTTGGTATCCAAAGTAAGGTCTTGTCACAAGGATTACATATGAGAAGTATGAAAGCCCTAGTACCAACTATTCAAAATTAATAGCCAAGGTTAAAGTTTTGCAAAAGTAGGTCAAACTCCAAGGTCAAGGGTCAAAGTTGATGGTATCCAAAGTAAGGCCTTGCCACAAGGATTACATATGTGAAGTATGAAAGCCCTAGCACTAATTGTTCAAAAGTTATGACCAAGGTTAAAGTTTTGCAAAAGTTGGTCAATCTTCAATGTCAAAGGGTCAAAGTTGTTGGTATCGAAAGAAAGGTCTTGTCACAAGGTATACACATGTGAAGTTTGAAAGCCCTAGCACCAACTATTTAAAAGTTATGGCCAAGGTTAAAGTCTGAAAAAAAATAGCAAAAGTGGGTCAAACTCCAAGGTCAAGGTCAAAAGGTCAAATTTTATGGTACCCACAGAAAGGTCTTGTCACAAGGAATACATATGTGAAATATGAAAGCCATAGCTCCAACTAATCAAAAGTTATGGGCAAGGTTAAAGTTTTTGCGGACAAACACAGACAGACAGCTAGACAGACAGACGGACGGACAGGGCAAAAACTATATGCCCCCGAATCTTCGATTACGGGGGCATTAAATTTATCCATTGGTCTTAAGTAAACAAAAATATGTTTTAAAAAAAGTGAAATATATGTATCAAATTTATTTAGTGTGAACGACTGAAAGACAACAATCATCAATGCTAACTATCTGGGTTTTTTTAACGTATTAAAGGAGTGGTCATGCGTCATTTCATTGGTACACATGAACAAATATCAATTTATGTATCTTAAACAGGTATCAACGGTCTACAGTCTTTTTCTTCACTTTTGTACTTTGAATAGAACATAAAATATTCATCATACAGCTATGATGCATCTCAATACTGTAGTATCTTCTCTATTTTGACTTAATGAATCTTGTTTTAAAAGCTTGATGACAAAACTGTTTACGACATCACGTACAGTACAAAAAAAAACCAACAACTGGAAATTAGATCTTAAGATTAGATCTTTTTACCATTACTAACGTTTTACTGATCATGCACAGCAGAAATGTGTGCTGCCACGAATCAGAAAACATAAATTTCCATGAAATGTAATATTTACAAAAGTACTCGGATGGCTATATTTTTTCATGTATGTGATATGCCTATTAACTTTCATTTATCAGAAAGCATATAGGAAGAAGGCAGATTAAGAACCCATTAACTTTCGAATGACGAACACCTGGTATTGTTAATTTATTTTAAATTATGCCAAACAAAAGTTAACTAACCTTTTCTACACTCTCCTCTTCCCTTAATATTGACACAAATTTCATCATCACCACAAGATGCTGGTTCTTTTATAATTGTTGGGGCATTGTCTCTTAGAGTGCATAATATTCTTTCCTTGCAATCCTTTGAGAGTATGCTTGTTTTCACCTACGAGAATATTAAAAACTATTTTTGAGTTATTCTTGTCAGATAAATCTGAAATATTCAGAAGGGCTCTACTACTACTGGACAACTTTCTCAAGATTTAGTTACTTTTATTTTGCATTCCACCAAATGTGTATATGAACTCCATCACGCATTTTGTATGCGTAAAGAAAAGTATTACAATTTATCTCAAATGTGATACTTTTTCTGCAAATATCCTGATAGGTTGCTTTCTTAAAAAGAGTGTAAACAGATCAACTTACCGGGAAATGTTTATTAAATAGGACACATCCACATTGACTAATAGGAATGCAAAAATCTCCATCTCTCACAAAACCTTTCTTACACTGACACCCTGCAATATCACGATCAGAACAGGTTTCTTCCGCTTTTGGGGACAGGCAAGTGTTGGGACAACCACTTCCATCCTCCAAATACACCTCATTATCTTTGCATTTTTCGGGTTCTGTTAATGCTACAAAAGAAAATATCTGTATATGATTTTCTAAGATAATAAAAGAGGCTGATATTATAATCAGTGTACGATGTATTCGTTTTAAATAGAAATTTAAACAGAAAATTGTCAACTTCAAGCAAAGTTTAGGTAGTATAGCTGCTTATGATCTACTTATTTAAAAATAACGTTCAAAATTTAATTTGTTCAAGTTTATTTTTCCTTTATCATTAAATGAAATTATATCAACTGATTCAAAATTTATCAATGCAAAAATTACTTACGACAAGAGGTTATATTTCTCCAATTATTCTGTTCTGGTGGAGGATAACCGTTCTCTACACATACTTCTTCGAATTCTTCTAGTGCAGGGCAAGTCACGCTCTTCAGTCGAGTGCCGTCGTTATTGCAGGCATCAATGAGACAGGAAGAAAAGGGGCTATTTCCGTCCGCTTCCACTGTTTTCTTCATCCACTCTACGCATACTTTGAATGGGTTTTCGATGGACGTGCTCGCCATCAGTCCACAATTTTCTTGAGAGCTAAGCCTCTTACTTTGCTCAGGAGTGCAACTTAAAAATTCCGGCGTGGGACCGCACCTAGAAAACACAAAAGGAAATAGCCACTGAATGAAAATAGGACCGACAATTGTAAGAGTTAGTGTTTATAATAAAAAAAAACCAGTCAACACTGTCGGGAGGTAATGCCTTGTTAAAAATCAGTTTTCTCGCATTCAGATAAATGTGCCGACAATCAGTCCAGAACTGTTCTTGAAACATTTACTACATGTAGTATATCTGAACACAAAATCAAGATTATGATTTATAATTGTCAGCAAAACCAAACAAAATGTAAATAACATATGTTCTAAAACATTTAATATGTAAAATAATCAATTGAAAACAAAATTATATCTTGATGTTCGAAATATCCTCAAGAATGTCTAGCATAAAAGCGACTTGCATGTTTGCAAGTTGAGCATGTAACAAAATCAGCTTTTAAGTTTTGAATAAAAGAGGTCCGAGAATACTCGTTCCATCTAATACTCACACAGATAAAGGACTCTGAGCATCTGTCACACGGTAACTATCTCCGATTTCTATGTACTTGTCTTTTGCTGGCAATCGTGATACATTGGTACCATTGGCCAAACGGAAGTCATCCCTCTTTCCATTGCAGTCTCCACAGATACCAGTCATCCTGCCACCGTAACTTCTCTTGTCGGCTGTCACCTCCACAGAATGCTTGCCATCCCAAAGCACCGTCAATCCACAAGACTTTGACTGGAGTTTCACGAAACGGCGCCCTATCGTCGTAAGTAAAATGCCATCTTTTTCAAAGGGCATTTTACTAACGTTTATATCTCTTCCATTGACCTACAATTGCAAAAGGCACAAAAGAGTCGCAAATGTCTAAAACAGGGGATAAAAATAAATGAACGCATAAAAATCCATGTGCACTTTATTATGACCCCAATCGATTAAAAGAGGACTGATTCCTTATAAAGTCTGTGATTCCCTTTCCCTCATTGAGTGTTTGAATTGTTACTACCTTTGTTTCCTTGCCTTTGAATAACGAAACGTAGGTACTGCCAATTTCGACGTCTACCTGCTTGGTATAGGAGACAGATTTCTTATTGTACCGTCTCTCATTGTACACCATCACGTTGAAGGCACATAGTTGTTTACCAAGCGTTTTTGTTAGTGTGTACTTGCATGTGCCCATGAAATGGATTTTCTGTCCATCGAATGTTGAATAGTGCGGGTCTCCGGAAGCTCGACACAAACAGGAAGCTGAATAGAAAAAAAACAGACAATACGAAAAAGAGAAGCGCTACAGTTTCTAAAGGTAGTATTTAGAGACCAAAAAAAATAATGTTTGAAATTTCCTCTGAGCAACAACATTGAGGATGTTTTTTAAATCAAATTTTCAAGATTTATGAAAACATCTTACCAGTACATCCTCCCTTCTTTGGATTTCCACGATAGCCTCTCTTGCATCGACACTTGCCTCCTCTACCTCTTCGATTTTTTCTCCATATTGCATTGGGTCCACACTTTCTGTTACAGTCTACGTTAAGTATGGATCAAATAAACAAACGGAGAAATAAAACTTCAAAAAAAAAATTACGAAAAAGAACACAACCTGGTACCAAAGCATGGGTAATACAGTAAAAAAAGGGTCTCACTTTTCTTTCGATATCGGATCTTGAATTTCCCTTGACAACCATTGCGAACTTCCAAATGCCATTTCCCTTTCCTCCGGAGTAAGCGGAATGACTTCTTGTTGATACAAGGTTTAGACACTTTGTCTTGTTTGACCAATTGGACTCCTAAGTCTTCGACTTTTCTGGTGATTCCCAGTCTGCAAAGTTTCTTGATATCTTTCTCTCGTCCACTTCTGAGCTGCAAAGTACGGCTTGCACACCGAATTACTTTTCTCTCCTCTTTACATTTACCTGAAACGAAATTATTACATTACTCTACCTACTAGCAATTATCATCTCATTCAATAAAATTTCATCCTTATAGAAAACACTTTGCGTAGAATTTTTCCAAACGAGAATTTTTTTTCGCTCTAGATGCAAGTTTTTAAAACTTCATATATGTAAGTATTCTCAAGCTAAGGTGTTGATATGAAAAAACACAGTAGTTTTAATCATTGTCTTCTTTCTTTGAATATCTTTATAGAATCCACCAATTACTCACAATAACATTTTACAAATCTACAAGTTGCTATCAGAATCGACAGTATTTCAGAATTTCAACTTTAAAGCTCCTTATAATAATGTTATTCAGTGCATTGCAAAGAATTTTCTCACACAACTTTTTTTTCCAACTCAATTGCGTGATAATAACCTTTCGTGTGAATTAATGTTCTGAATCTCCAAAATTATATTAAACTTTTTTTTTTTCAGGAATGCCTTACACAAGTAAACAAAGTTATACGAACACGCATTTAATTGAAAACATTTCAGTCAGAAGTAATTTATTTTAATGTTTATTATGATTTTCTCTCATGTATTTTTTCTTGAAAATAATATTTTGCAGCCACTTATAACAAAAAATGAAAGAATTTCACCCCAAGTTTTATTTTTTAACCACTCTCTCAATTTTCCTTCCTTTATATTGAGTTTCTTTTAATGAATTTATATCATCTTTATTTTTTACATCCTAGCTATGTGACTTTGACCATCTGTGTGACACCAACCTTTTATTTTCTGCTATAATTTTATGAAGAATACAAACAATCTTTTGCATTCAATTCTTTACACAGATAAACATTTTGTGTATTTTTTACCCTACCACACTGTAGTTTCACAATCTTTCTTTTGAAGTCAAACCCTTTTTCGTATATAAGTATAGCAGAAAGGGAATCTGACTCGTTCTATGGAAGAATTTTTAAAAAAAGGATTAAAACTGCAGAATTCATTTCTTTTTTAGTTTTTGAGAATTGCATTTAGTTAAAAAAAAAAAACGAAATTACTTACGTTCAGTTTCAGGTGAGTAAGCTTTTGGAGGTGAAATGGGTGCTTTGGTAGCAACAGATGGAGCTGCAATATTTTTATTTATAAATACAGAAAAATATCAAATATTCCATGTTTGTAAACATTTACTAGCTGAAAAAAATTAAAACTGATATGTAAATTTTCTTTCATCATCGAATCCATGGGTACGTTATGAAGGTGCTTAACACCCTATTGATATTAAGAGGATTTGTGATAGATACAATACTCTGATGTGATAATAATATAAAATTAAGATTTAAATATACACAAATAATGAGACATTTCCAATCGGTTAATTAAGAAGAAATGAAATTTCAGTATTCATTATTAAATTATGTATGAAAATTGTTTGTTTAATACATTAAGTTGAATAAAATATTTAAAAAAAAAAAAAAGGAATTGTGAAATTTAATTAACATTATGTATTCAATATATAATTTTACATCCATTATAGCCTAAAATTTTCGAGTGCATCAATATTTGTAAATACTGGAAATAGTTGAAAGGGATAGTGAATGTTGAAGTCAATCTATCTTGCATTATGATTGTAAGTAAAAATAGCATATATACAGGTGTATCAAATGAAGATATGTTTTATGGTAAATTTCTACAAACATAGCGCAGAACTCAAAATATTTCTACAAAACATTGTTTGAGCACTCTTTTGTACTACAATAGGAAATAAACAATTTTATTTTTAAAGAACAAAAAATCTCAAGAACGTATATACAGAAAATATTCTATGTTTTGTATTTGGATATGAAATTTTATGAGTGCAAAGTGGTCATACGGTTAACATCGGAGTATGAAAGTGCTTATTTTATTCAGCAGAAAATTCTGAGGTTTCAGTTGAGAATTTAATAAACTGATGTCAGAGTTTTAGGTCAAGCAATTCAGATGTCAGACGACAAAGCATTTATTGCCTTCACTGTATATTGCATTACATTTTTTCCATGAGGTGTTAAGTATGTATTTTTTTAGCATTTGCTTTTAAAATACTTTGAGAATGACATCCTCTCAGCAATTGAACATGTAGGGTACTGTAATATTCGCATAATTTCGAAATATGCGTACTGAATTCTGTTTAAAATGTTGATCATCAAAGTACCGAAACATAGATATGTCCATTATTTCAAATCATATTGATTTTGCTAACCTCTCTTAGCAGGTCAATATTTAAATTTACTTCATCAGTTCCTTGGCTGGTGATATATATGTATAACCTACACTAATTTGTATATTTAAGTTTTAAAAAAAATCTTCTCTTCCACCATAAAAATATATTTTAAACAAGAAAACATTAGTTCTGAACTTCTGATGAGGAAAAAAAAAGTTTTCTTAATACACGCATTAGATTATCAAAAACAAAGATATGAAAGGGACATTCTGGTTACCTCACAATTTATTTTTGGCATTTTTGTGCTATAATTCCATTTACGAGACCATCTATAATGAAATTATCTTAAACGCTTTCTTCGAAGAAAAAAATCTGTTGAATATAGACTACCTTTTTTACATTCCCCTCTTCCTTTTAGATTCAGACATATTTCGTCAGTTCTACACTTTGCTGGTTCTTCTATAACTTTTGGAACACCGTTCCTCAGAGTGCATGAAATTCTCTGTTTGCAGTCTACAGAAAGTATGCTCGAATTTACCTACAATATCAAGAACGTGTTATTTTATGAACCTACAGATAGAATCAAATTATTCTAAATATCTAAAGTATTTAATGTTTCTTTATCCTTATCAAATTACTGTTCTCGGGTTCAGGTTTTTCTTCATTTCTCAAAACTATTTTTAACATCCAAAACAGAAAAGATATTTTTTAAAGTAAAAAAGACTTGCGTAAAATCAATTTTTATTGCCTCCAAATAAAAGTTTTATCGCTTAAGAAAACAATAGTGTAATGCCGTACAGGAACGCGTTTCTTCAGTAGAGTGCATCCACATTGACTGACAGGTATGCAGATATCTCCATCTCTCACAAAACCTTTCTTACACTGACACCCTGCAACATCAGGATCAGAACAGGTTTCTTCCGCCTTTGGGGACAGGCATGTGTTGGGACATCCACTTCCATCTTCTACGTACTCCTCATTTTTATGGCATTTTTCAACCTCTGTCAATGCTTTAAATAAATGCTTACGATTATTATTTCTTGAAGCAATTGAAATCAACTCAAAAGATATTAATCGGGGTTAGTCCCTTATGAAGTTAAAAGTAAAGTTTCAGGCAATGAGAAATACATGTATGAAATACAAATGCTCACAACAGGAAGTGATGTTTCGCCAGATATTATCCTCTGGTGGGGCATAGCCATTCTCTACACATATTTCTTCGAATTCCTCCAGCGCGGGGCAGGTCACTGTCTTCAACTTCGCTCCGTCGTTGTTGCATGCATCAATAAGACAAGAAGAAAATGGACTGTTTCCGTCCGCATCTTTAGTCGTTTTCATCCATTTGACGCATTCCTTGAATGGATTTTCGTCGGATGTACTCTCCATCAATCCACAAGCTTCATTGGAACTGAATCTCTTTGTCTGTTCCGGAGTGCAACTTGAAAATGCCGGTGTAGGACCACATCTGAAAATCAACAACTCTTACAATTTTCATGGATATTTCATAGCACGTGCAAACGATACAGGGAACGCAACTTGACTGTCGGACCACGTTAAACGTCGTACTCACGCAGATATAGGACTCTTTGCATCTGTCACGCGATAACTATCTCCGATTTCTCTGTACTTTTCCTTTGCTGGCAATCGTGATACATTTGTTCCATTGGCCAAGCGGAAGTCATCTCTCTTTCCATTGCAGTCCCCACAGATTCCAGTCATTTTGCCGCCGTACTTACCCTTGTCGGCAGAAACTTCCACAGAATGCTTGCCATCCCAAAGCACGGTCAATCCACAAGATGGTGATTGAAGTTTGACGAAACGGCGCCCTACAGTCGTCAACAAAATGCCATCTTTTTCAAAGGGCATTTGTGTGATGTTTACATTTCTTTCATTGACCTACAAATCCAACGGGTACAATCAAGTTCCATTTGTCATCAGACAATCCCTCCAACAAAAAAGTACCCATGTATCATACATGTTTTCATCGCATACTAGTATTTGGCCATGGCAACACCACTCACAAGAAGAATGATGTGCATGAAGGTTCCTACCTGGGATATCTTGCCTTTGAATAGTGAAACTCTGTTGTTGCCAATTTCCACATCCACTTGTTTGGTATAGGACACTGATTTCTTGTTGTTTCGTCTTTCGTTGTACACCATGATGTTAAAGGCACAGGGTTGCTTTCCCAATGTTCTTGTCAGCGTGTACTTGCAAGTGCCCATGAAGTGGATTTTCTGACCGTCATATGTAGAATAGTGTGGGTCTCCAGAAGCTCGGCATACACAAGAAGCTGAAAGAGAATTGGACAGAGAGATGGGATTTGGATCATGGTCATCAATATCCAAAATCCATTATTTCATCTTGACAAGTTCCTCAACATATTGTCAACTTTTTCCCCCACAAATGTATCAATTTGCAAATAAAGAGGAGTTGTCAAGATTACCAACTAAATTCATGTACAAGTATCGGTATGTAAGTTTCATTAGCACATGAAAAATGGGAACTTTTTATGCTGTTGTTTTTTTAAATGATTTTTTTTTTGTTAGTTTGTTTTGGTTTATAGATTTTGGTCATATTTTTTCAAAAACTGTTTCCATCGTATTGTAAGTTTCAAGACTCACAAATCATCTTACCAGTACATCCTCCCTTCTTTGGATTTCCACGATAACCTCTCTTGCATCGACATTTGCCTCCTCTGCCTCTTCGTCTCTTCTTCCAAACAGCATTGGGACCGCATTTTCTGGAGCAATCTACGTCGTAAACAAAGGATCATATATCTTACGACAAGCTCAGTAACAATGTACTTAACATGGGAATTAATATAGGAAATCAAATTCTCTGAGAATGAGAAATAAACTTATTTGAAATCTTACTTTTCCTGCGATATCGGATCTTGAATTTCCCTCGACAACCATTGCGAACTTCCAAATGCCATCTCCCTTTCCTCTTGAGTAAGCGAAACGACTTTTTGTTGATGCAAGGTTTAGACACTTTATCTTGCTTGACCAGTTGGACTCTGACGTCTTCAATTTCTCTGGTATTCCCCAGTCTACAAAGCTTCTTGATCTCCTTCTGTCGACCACTACTGAGTTGTAATCTACGGCTTGCACATCTCACAACCTTTTTCTCTTTTTTACATTTACCTGCATCGAAATATTTATTATTCATTCAATCTACCGGCAATTGCCATCTCATTCAATAAAATTATATCGTTACCTAACTTACATAGAATATTGATGCCCTACTTTTTATGTTTTGTAAAATAAAAAGTAGATCCCCCCCCCCCCCAAAAAAAAAGTCACTTTCATGGAATTCAATGATATATATATATATATATATATATATATATATATATATATATATATATATATATATATATATATATATATATATATATATATATATATATTTAGAAAGGTAATTTGAACTTAAATATTAGTTCCAAGTTTATTTTAACGATTCAAGCTAGTCCACAACATTTCGTGTGATTGTAACTTTCTCTATCAATTTTGTACCTCGGTTATGATAAAATTACTTACGGCCAGTTTCAGGTGAGCTAGCTTTAGGAGGAGGAATGGGTGCTTCAGCGACGATGGCTGGGGCTGTGAAATTCATATTTACAATTAACAAAATTGTAACCCATCAGGTTTGTAGCTTTTTTTCAATAAAAACTTTTTTTCTAATTTTCAAATAGGAATTATCTGTATCGTGTCTGTACACTGTGTTTAGTTTTAAATTTAGCAACAAATGAAAATAAAACGTTCATCTGGTTATTACATAAAGATAAATGTGGTAACCCTGAACTCCAAATACACATAAACTACAACTTTTAAGTTTCTAATTTTAAGGCTTTATTTATTATTCCATTTACGAGATCATCAATAGCCTAATGAAATTACGTTAAACGAATTCTTAGCAGAAAAAAATCCGTTGAATATAGACTACCTTTTTTACATTCCCCTCTTCCTTTTAGATTCAAACATATTTCGTCAGTTCTACACTTTGCTGGTTCTTCTATAACTTTTGGAACACCGTTCCTCAGAGTGCATGAAATTCTCTGTTTGCAGTCTACTGAAAGTATGCTCGAATTTACCTACAATATCGAGAACGTGTTATTTTATGAACCTACAGATAGAATCAAATTATTCTAAATATCTAAAGTATTTAATGTTTCTTTATCCTTATCAAATTACTGTTCTCGGGTTCAGGTTTTTCTTCATTTCTCAAAACTATTTTTAACATCCAAAACAGAAAAGATATTTTTTAAAGTAAAAAAGACTTGCGTAAAATCAATTTTTATTGCCTCCAAATAAAAGTTTTATCGCTTAAGAAAACAATAGTGTAATGCCGTACAGGAACGCGTTTCTTCAGTAGAGTGCATCCACATTGACTGACAGGTATGCAGATATCTCCATCTCTCACAAAACCTTTCTTACACTGACACCCTGCAACATCAGGATCAGAACAGGTTTCTTCCGCCTTTGGGGACAGGCATGTGTTGGGACATCCACTTCCATCTTCTACGTACTCCTCATTTTTATGGCATTTTTCAACCTCTGTCAATGCTTTAAATAAATGCTTACGATTATTATTTCTTGAAGCAATTGAAATCAACTCAAAAGATATTAATCGGGGTTAGTCCCTTATGAAGTTAAAAGTAAAGTTTCAGGCAATGAGAAATACATGTATGAAATACAAATGCTCACAACAGGAAGTGATGTTTCGCCAGATATTATCCTCTGGTGGGGCATAGCCATTCTCTACACATATTTCTTCGAATTCCTCCAGCGCGGGGCAGGTCACTGTCTTCAACTTCGCTCCGTCGTTGTTGCATGCATCAATAAGACAAGAAGAAAATGGACTGTTTCCGTCCGCATCTTTAGTCGTTTTTATCCATTTGACGCATTCCTTGAATGGATTTTCGTCGGATGTACTCTCCATCAATCCACAAGCTTCATTGGAACTGAATCTCTTTGTCTGTTCCGGAGTGCAACTTGAAAATGCCGGTGTAGGACCACATCTGAAAATCAACAACTCTTACAATTTTCATGGATATTTCATAGCACGTGCAAACGATACAGGGAACGCAACTTGACTGTCGGACCACGTTAAACGTCGTACTCACGCAGATATAGGACTCTTTGCATCTGTCACGCGATAACTATCTCCGATTTCTCTGTACTTTTCCTTTGCTGGCAATCGTGATACATTTGTTCCATTGGCCAAGCGGAAGTCATCTCTCTTTCCATTGCAGTCCCCACAGATTCCAGTCATTTTGCCGCCGTACTTACCCTTGTCGGCAGAAACTTCCACAGAATGCTTGCCATCCCAAAGCACGGTCAATCCACAAGATGGTGATTGAAGTTTGACGAAACGGCGCCCTACAGTCGTCAACAAAATGCCATCTTTTTCAAAGGGCATTTGTGTGATGTTTACATTTCTTTCATTGACCTACAAATCCAACGGGTACAATCAAGTTCCATTTGTCAACAGACAATCCCTCCAACAAAAAAGTACCCATGTATCATACATGTTTTCATCGCATACTAGTATTTGGCCATGGCAACACCACTCACAAGAAGAATGATGTGCATGAAGGTTCCTACCTGGGATATCTTGCCTTTGAATAGTGAAACTCTGTTGTTGCCAATTTCCACATCCACTTGTTTGGTATAGGACACTGATTTCTTGTTGTTTCGTCTTTCGTTGTACACCATGATGTTAAAGGCACAGGGTTGCTTTCCCAATGTTCTTGTCAGCGTGTACTTGCAAGTGCCCATGAAGTGGATTTTCTGACCGTCATATGTAGAATAGTGTGGGTCTCCAGAAGCTCGGCATACACAAGAAGCTGAAAGAGAATTGGACAGAGAGATGGGATTTGGATCATGGTCATCAATATCCAAAATCCATTATTTCATCTTGACAAGTTCCTCAACATATTGTCAACTTTTTCCCCCACAAATGTATCAATTTGCAAATAAAGAGGAGTTGTCAAGATTACCAACTAAATTCATGTACAAGTATCGGTATGTAAGTTTCATTAGCACATGAAAAATGGGAACTTTTTATGCTGTTGTTTTTTTAAATGATTTTTTTTTGTTAGTTTGTTTTGGTTTATAGATTTTGGTCATATTTTTTCAAAAACTGTTTCCATCGTATTGTAAGTTTCAAGACTCACAAATCATCTTACCAGTACATCCTCCCTTCTTTGGATTTCCACGATAACCTCTCTTGCATCGACATTTGCCTCCTCTGCCTCTTCGTCTCTTCTTCCAAACAGCATTGGGACCGCATTTTCTGGAGCAATCTACGTCGTAAACAAAGGATCATATATCTTACGACAAGCTCAGTAACAATGTACTTAACATGGGAATTAATATAGGAAATCAAATTCTCTGAGAATGAGAAATAAACTTATTTGAAATCTTACTTTTCCTGCGATATCGGATCTTGAATTTCCCTCGACAACCATTGCGAACTTCCAAATGCCATCTCCCTTTCCTCTTGAGTAAGCGAAACGACTTTTTGTTGATGCAAGGTTTAGACACTTTATCTTGCTTGACCAGTTGGACTCTGACGTCTTCAATTTCTCTGGTATTCCCCAGTCTACAAAGCTTCTTGATCTCCTTCTGTCGACCACTACTGAGTTGTAATCTACGGCTTGCACATCTCACAACCTTTTTCTCTTTTTTACATTTACCTGCATCGAAATATTTATTATTCATTCAATCTACCGGCAATTGCCATCTCATTCAATAAAATTATATCGTTACCTAACTTACATAGAATATTGATGCCCTACTTTTTATGTTTTGTAAAATAAAAAGTAGATCCCCCCCCCCCAAAAAAAAGTCACTTTCATGGAATTCAATGATATATATATATATATATATATATATATATATATATATATATATATATATATATATATATATATATATATATATATATATTTAGAAAGGTAATTTGAACTTAAATATTAGTTCCAAGTTTATTTTAACGATTCAAGCTAGTCCACAACATTTCGTGTGATTGTAACTTTCTCTATCAATTTTGTACCTCGGTTATGATAAAATTACTTACGGCCAGTTTCAGGTGAGCTAGCTTTAGGAGGAGGAATGGGTGCTTCAGCGACGATGGCTGGGGCTGTGAAATTCATATTTACAATTAACAAAATTGTAACCCATCAGGTTTGTAGCTTTTTTTCAATAAAAACTTTTTTTCTAATTTTCAAATAGGAATTATCTGTATCGTGTCTGTAAACTGTGTTTAGTTTTAAATTTAGCAACAAATGAAAATAAAACGTTCATCTGGTTATTACATAAAGATAAATGTGGTAACCCTGAACTCCAAATACACATAAACTACAACTTTTAAGTTTCTAATTTTAAGGCTTTATTTATTATTCCGTTTACGAGATCATCAATAGCCTAATGAAATTACGTTAAACGAATTCTTAGCAGAAAAAAATCCGTTGAATATAGACTACCTTTTTTACATTCCCCTCTTCCTTTTAGATTCAGACATATTTCGTCAGTTCTACACTTTGCTGGTTCTTCTATAACTTTTGGAACACCGTTCCTCAGAGTGCATGAAATTCTCTGTTTGCAGTCTACTGAAAGTATGCTCGAATTTACCTACAATATCGAGAACGTGTTATTTTATGAACCTACAGATAGAATCAAATTATTCTAAATATCTAAAGTATTTAATGTTTCTTTATCCTTATCAAATTACTGTTCTCGGGTTCAGGTTTTTCTTCATTTCTCAAAACTATTTTTAACATCCAAAACAGAAAAGATTTTTTTAAAGTAAAAAAGACTTGCGTAAAATCAATTTTTATTGCCTCCAAATAAAAGTTTTATCGCTTAAGAAAACAATAGTGTAATGCCGTACAGGAACGCGTTTCTTCAGTAGAGTGCATCCACATTGACTGACAGGTATGCAGATATCTCCATCTCTCACAAAACCTTTCTTACACTGACACCCTGCAACATCAGGATCAGAACAGGTTTCTTCCGCCTTTGGGGACAGGCATGTGTTGGGACATCCACTTCCATCTTCTACGTACTCCTCATTTTTATGGCATTTTTCAACCTCTGTCAATGCTTTAAATAAATGCTTACGATTATTATTTCTTGAAGCAATTGAAATCAACTCAAAAGATATTAATCGGGGTTAGTCCCTTATGAAGTTAAAAGTAAAGTTTCAGGCAATGAGAAATACATGTATGAAATACAAATGCTCACAACAGGAAGTGATGTTTCGCCAGATATTATCCTCTGGTGGGGCATAGCCATTCTCTACACATATTTCTTCGAATTCCTCCAGCGCGGGGCAGGTCACTGTCTTCAACTTCGCTCCGTCGTTGTTGCATGCATCAATAAGACAAGAAGAAAATGGACTGTTTCCGTCCGCATCTTTAGTCGTTTTCATCCATTTGACGCATTCCTTGAATGGATTTTCGTCGGATGTACTCTCCATCAATCCACAAGCTTCATTGGAACTGAATCTCTTTGTCTGTTCCGGAGTGCAACTTGAAAATGCCGGTGTAGGACCACATCTGAAAATCAACAACTCTTACAATTTTCATGGATATTTCATAGCACGTGCAAACGATACAGGGAACGCAACTTGACTGTCGGACCACGTTAAACGTCGTACTCACGCAGATATAGGACTCTTTGCATCTGTCACGCGATAACTATCTCCGATTTCTCTGTACTTTTCCTTTGCTGGCAATCGTGATACATTTGTTCCATTGGCCAAGCGGAAGTCATCTCTCTTTCCATTGCAGTCCCCACAGATTCCAGTCATTTTGCCGCCGTACTTACCCTTGTCGGCAGAAACTTCCACAGAATGCTTGCCATCCCAAAGCACGGTCAATCCACAAGATGGTGATTGAAGTTTGACGAAACGGCGCCCTACAGTCGTCAACAAAATGCCATCTTTTTCAAAGGGCATTTGTGTGATGTTTACATTTCTTTCATTGACCTACAAATCCAACGGGTACAATCAAGTTCCATTTGTCATCAGACAATCCCTCCAACAAAAAAGTACCCATGTATCATACATGTTTTCATCGCATACTAGTATTTGGCCATGGCAACACCACTCACAAGAAGAATGATGTGCATGAAGGTTCCTACCTGGGATATCTTGCCTTTGAATAGTGAAACTCTGTTGTTGCCAATTTCCACATCCACTTGTTTGGTATAGGACACTGATTTCTTGTTGTTTCGTCTTTCGTTGTACACCATGATGTTAAAGGCACAGGGTTGCTTTCCCAATGTTCTTGTCAGCGTGTACTTGCAAGTGCCCATGAAGTGGATTTTCTGACCGTCATATGTAGAATAGTGTGGGTCTCCAGAAGCTCGGCATACACAAGAAGCTGAAAGAGAATTGGACAGAGAGATGGGATTTGGATCATGGTCATCAATATCCAAAATCCATTATTTCATCTTGACAAGTTCCTCAACATATTGTCAACTTTTTCCCCCACAAATGTATCAATTTGCAAATAAAGAGGAGTTGTCAAGATTACCAACTAAATTCATGTACAAGTATCGGTATGTAAGTTTCATTAGCACATGAAAAATGGGAACTTTTTATGCTGTTGTTTTTTTAAATGATTTTTTTTTTGTTAGTTTGTTTTGGTTTATAGATTTTGGTCATATTTTTTCAAAAACTGTTTCCATCGTATTGTAAGTTTCAAGACTCACAAATCATCTTACCAGTACATCCTCCCTTCTTTGGATTTCCACGATAACCTCTCTTGCATCGACATTTGCCTCCTCTGCCTCTTCGTCTCTTCTTCCAAACAGCATTGGGACCGCATTTTCTGGAGCAATCTACGTCGTAAACAAAGGATCATATATCTTACGACAAGCTCAGTAACAATGTACTTAACATGGGAATTAATATAGGAAATCAAATTCTCTGAGAATGAGAAATAAACTTATTTGAAATCTTACTTTTCCTGCGATATCGGATCTTGAATTTCCCTCGACAACCATTGCGAACTTCCAAATGCCATCTCCCTTTCCTCTTGAGTAAGCGAAACGACTTTTTGTTGATGCAAGGTTTAGACACTTTATCTTGCTTGACCAGTTGGACTCTGACGTCTTCAATTTCTCTGGTATTCCCCAGTCTACAAAGCTTCTTGATCTCCTTCTGTCGACCACTACTGAGTTGTAATCTACGGCTTGCACATCTCACAACCTTTTTCTCTTTTTTACATTTACCTGCATCGAAATATTTATTATTCATTCAATCTACCGGCAATTGCCATCTCATTCAATAAAATTATATCGTTACCTAACTTACATAGAATATTGATGCCCTACTTTTTATGTTTTGTAAAATAAAAAGTAGATCCCCCCCCCCCAAAAAAAAAAGTCACTTTCATGGAATTCAATGATATATATATATATATATATATATATATATATATATATATATATATATATATATATATATATATTTAGAAAGGTAATTTGAACTTAAATATTAGTTCCAAGTTTATTTTAACGATTCAAGCTAGTCCACAACATTTCGTGTGATTGTAACTTTCTCTATCAATTTTGTACCTCGGTTATGATAAAATTACTTACGGCCAGTTTCAGGTGAGCTAGCTTTAGGAGGAGGAATGGGTGCTTCAGCGACGATGGCTGGGGCTGTGAAATTCATATTTACAATTAACAAAATTGTAACCCATCAGGTTTGTAGCTTTTTTTCAATAAAAACTTTTTTTCTAATTTTCAAATAGGAATTATCTGTATCGTGTCTGTAAACTGTGTTTAGTTTTAAATTTAGCAACAAATGAAAATAAAACGTTCATCTGGTTATTACATAAAGATAAATGTGGTAACCCTGAACTCCAAATACACATAAACTACAACTTTTAAGTTTCTAATTTTAAGGCTTTATTTATTATTCCGTTTACGAGATCATCAATAGCCTAATGAAATTACGTTAAACGAATTCTTAGCAGAAAAAAATCCGTTGAATATAGACTACCTTTTTTACATTCCCCTCTTCCTTTTAGATTCAAACATATTTCGTCAGTTCTACACTTTGCTGGTTCTTCTATAACTTTTGGAACACCGTTCCTCAGAGTGCATGAAATTCTCTGTTTGCAGTCTACTGAAAGTATGCTCGAATTTACCTACAATATCGAGAACGTGTTATTTTATGAACCTACAGATAGAATCAAATTATTCTAAATATCTAAAGTATTTAATGTTTCTTTATCCTTATCAAATTACTGTTCTCGGGTTCAGGTTTTTCTTCATTTCTCAAAACTATTTTTAACATCCAAAACAGAAAAGATTTTTTTAAAGTAAAAAAGACTTGCGTAAAATCAATTTTTATTGCCTCCAAATAAAAGTTTTATCGCTTAAGAAAACAATAGTGTAATGCCGTACAGGAACGCGTTTCTTCAGTAGAGTGCATCCACATTGACTGACAGGTATGCAGATATCTCCATCTCTCACAAAACCTTTCTTACACTGACACCCTGCAACATCAGGATCAGAACAGGTTTCTTCCGCCTTTGGGGACAGGCATGTGTTGGGACATCCACTTCCATCTTCTACGTACTCCTCATTTTTATGGCATTTTTCAACCTCTGCCAATGCTTTAAATAAATGCTTACGATTATTATTTCTTGAAGCAATTGAAATCAACTCAAAAGATATTAATCGGGGTTAGTCCCTTATGAAGTTAAAAGTAAAGTTTCAGGCAATGAGAAATACATGTATGAAATACAAATGCTCACAACAGGAAGTGATGTTTCGCCAGATATTATCCTCTGGTGGGGCGTAGCCATTCTCTACACATATTTCTTCGAATTCCTCCAGCGCGGGGCAGGTCACTGTCTTCAACTTCGCTCCGTCGTTGTTGCATGCATCAATAAGACAAGAAGAAAATGGACTGTTTCCGTCCGCATCTTTAGTCGTTTTCATCCATTTGACGCATTCCTTGAATGGATTTTCGTCGGATGTACTCTCCATCAATCCACAAGCTTCATTGGAACTGAATCTCTTTGTCTGTTCCGGAGTGCAACTTGAAAATGCCGGTGTAGGACCACATCTGAAAATCAACAACTCTTACAATTTTCATGGATATTTCATAGCACGTGCAAACGATACAGGGAACGCAACTTGACTGTCGGACCACGTTAAACGTCGTACTCACGCAGATATAGGACTCTTTGCATCTGTCACGCGATAACTATCTCCGATTTCTCTGTACTTTTCCTTTGCTGGCAATCGTGATACATTTGTTCCATTGGCCAAGCGGAAGTCATCTCTCTTTCCATTGCAGTCCCCACAGATTCCAGTCATTTTGCCGCCGTACTTACCCTTGTCGGCAGAAACTTCCACAGAATGCTTGCCATCCCAAAGCACGGTCAATCCACAAGATGGTGATTGAAGTTTGACGAAACGGCGCCCTACAGTCGTCAACAAAATGCCATCTTTTTCAAAGGGCATTTGTGTGATGTTTACATTTCTTTCATTGACCTACAAATCCAACAGGTACAATCAAGTTCCATTTGTCATCAGACAATCCCTCCAACAAAAAAGTACCCATGTATCATACATGTTTTCATCGCATACTAGTATTTGGCCATGGCAACACCACTCACAAGAAGAATGATGTGCATGAAGGTTCCTACCTGGGATATCTTGCCTTTGAATAGTGAAACTCTGTTGTTGCCAATTTCCACATCCACTTGTTTGGTATAGGACACTGATTTCTTGTTGTTTCGTCTTTCGTTGTACACCATGATGTTAAAGGCACAGGGTTGCTTTCCCAATGTTCTTGTCAGCGTGTACTTGCAAGTGCCCATGAAGTGGATTTTCTGACCGTCATATGTAGAATAGTGTGGGTCTCCAGAAGCTCGGCATACACAAGAAGCTGAAAGAGAATTGGACAGAGAGATGGGATTTGGATCATGGTCATCAATATCCAAAATCCATTATTTCATCTTGACAAGTTCCTCAACATATTGTCAACTTTTTCCCCCACAAATGTATCAATTTGCAAATAAAGAGGAGTTGTCAAGATTACCAACTAAATTCATGTACAAGTATCGGTATGTAAGTTTCATTAGCACATGAAAAATGGGAACTTTTTATGCTGTTGTTTTTTTAAATGATTTTTTTTTTGTTAGTTTGTTTTGGTTTATAGATTTTGGTCATATTTTTTCAAAAACTGTTTCCATCGTATTGTAAGTTTCAAGACTCACAAATCATCTTACCAGTACATCCTCCCTTCTTTGGATTTCCACGATAACCTCTCTTGCATCGACATTTGCCTCCTCTGCCTCTTCGTCTCTTCTTCCAAACAGCATTGGGACCGCATTTTCTGGAGCAATCTACGTCGTAAACAAAGGATCATATATCTTACGACAAGCTCAGTAACAATGTACTTAACATGGGAATTAATATAGGAAATCAAATTCTCTGAGAATGAGAAATAAACTTATTTGAAATCTTACTTTTCCTGCGATATCGGATCTTGAATTTCCCTCGACAACCATTGCGAACTTCCAAATGCCATCTCCCTTTCCTCTTGAGTAAGCGAAACGACTTTTTGTTGATGCAAGGTTTAGACACTTTATCTTGCTTGACCAGTTGGACTCTGACGTCTTCAATTTCTCTGGTATTCCCCAGTCTACAAAGCTTCTTGATCTCCTTCTGTCGACCACTACTGAGTTGTAATCTACGGCTTGCACATCTCACAACCTTTTTCTCTTTTTTACATTTACCTGCATCGAAATATTTATTATTCATTCAATCTACCGGCAATTGCCATCTCATTCAATAAAATTATATCGTTACCTAACTTACATAGAATATTGATGCCCTACTTTTTATGTTTTGTAAAATAAAAAGTAGATCCCCCCCCCCCAAAAAAAAGTCACTTTCATGGAATTCAATGATATATATATATATATATATATATATATATATATATATATATATATATATATATATATATATATATATATATATATATATATATATATATATATTTAGAAAGGTAATTTGAACTTAAATATTAGTTCCAAGTTTATTTTAACGATTCAAGCTAGTCCACAACATTTCGTGTGATTGTAACTTTCTCTATCAATTTTGTACCTCGGTTATGATAAAATTACTTACGGCCAGTTTCAGGTGAGCTAGCTTTAGGAGGAGGAATGGGTGCTTCAGCGACGATGGCTGGGGCTGTGAAATTCATATTTACAATTAACAAAATTGTAACCCATCAGGTTTGTAGCTTTTTTTCAATAAAAACTTTTTTTCTAATTTTCAAATAGGAATTATCTGTATCGTGTCTGTAAACTGTGTTTAGTTTTAAATTTAGCAACAAATGAAAATAAAACGTTCATCTGGTTATTACATAAAGATAAATGTGGTAACCCTGAACTCCAAATACACATAAACTACAACTTTTAAGTTTCTAATTTTAAGGCTTTATTTATTATTCCGTTTACGAGATCATCAATAGCCTAATGAAATTACGTTAAACGAATTCTTAGCAGAAAAAAATCCGTTGAATATAGACTACCTTTTTTACATTCCCCTCTTCCTTTTAGATTCAGACATATTTCGTCAGTTCTACACTTTGCTGGTTCTTCTATAACTTTTGGAACACCGTTCCTCAGAGTGCATGAAATTCTCTGTTTGCAGTCTACTGAAAGTATGCTCGAATTTACCTACAATATCGAGAACGTGTTATTTTATGAACCTACAGATAGAATCAAATTATTCTAAATATCTAAAGTATTTAATGTTTCTTTATCCTTATCAAATTACTGTTCTCGGGTTCAGGTTTTTCTTCATTTCTCAAAA